CAAACTGAAGCTTAATCCAGAAAAAACAGAGGTCCTCCTGGTTAGAGGGCCAGTCAAGGTATTGTGTGGCAGCCTGTGCTTGATGGGATCACATTCCCTCTGAAGGCACAGGTCCACAGTCTGGGGGTCCTTCTGGACTCAGCACTGACACTTGATGCTCAGGTGTTAGACGTGGCTGGGAAGGCCTTTGCACAATTAAAACTTGTGCACCAGCTGTGACCATACCTCAAAATACCTGACTTGGCCATGGTGGTCCACGCCTTAGTTACATCTAGAATGGTCTACTGCAATGCACTCTACATGGGGCTGCCTTTGAAGACAGCTTGGAACTGCAGTTACTGCAAAGGTCGGCAGCCAGATTACTAACTGGAGCACATTACGCCCCTACTAAAGCAGCTTCACTGGCTTCAGATGAGTTTCCGAACCCAATTCAAAGTGCAGGTTATTACCTATAAAGCCCTATACACTTTGGGTCCAATCTATCTTTGCGACTGCATTTCCTTCTATGAACCAGCATGGACTTTAAGATCTACCAGGGAGGCCATCCTCTCAGCCCCACCTCCATCTCAAGCACAGTTGGTGGGGATGAGAGAGAGGGCCTTCTTGGTGGTGCCCCCCACCCGGCTTTGGAATGCCCTCCTGAGAGAGAGCAGGCTAGCTCTCACCCTCCAAGCCTTCTGCACACAATTAAAGACCTGGCTTTTCTGACAAGCCTTCGACCATGTTTAGACTCTCTAATAATGAGGACCTTTAGATTCTTTATTAACACTTTATACCTCTGAGATCAAATACTGTTATTTTATCTACAGCAATTGCTGTATTTTATTGTTTTTACCAGGGGGTACTGTGAATGTATGATGTTGTGTTGATTGCTTATTGTCTATTGTATGTTTTGTTTTGCACTGTTTGAATTTTTCATGTCACACCTTGAGTGTTTTGCGAGCCGCTCTGAGTCCCTCTGGGAGATGGTGGTGGGATATAAATAAAAGATAATGATGATGATGATGATGATGATGATCATAGAATCAAAAAGTTTGAAAAGACCTCATGGGCCATCCAGTCCAACCCCCTGCCAAGAAGCAGGAATATTGCATTCAAATCACCCCTGACAGATGGCCATCCAGCCTCTGTTTAAAAGCTTCCAAAGAAGGAGCCTCCACCACACTCCGGGGCAGAGAGTTCCACTGCTGAACGGCTCTCACAGTCAGGAAGTTCTTCCTCATGTTCAGATGGAATCTCCTTTCTTGTAGCTTGAAGCCATTGTTTCGCCTAGTCTCCAGGGAAGCAGAAAACAAGCTTGCTCCCTCCTCCCTGTGGCTTCCTCTCACATATTTATACATGGCTATCATATCTCCTCTCAGCCTTCTCTTCTTCAGGCTAAACATGCCCAGCTCCTTAAGCCGCTCCTCATTGGGCTTGTTCTCCAGACACTTGATCATTTTAGTCGCCCTCCTCTGGACACATTCCAGCTTGTCAATATCTCTCTTGAATTGTGGTGCCCAGAATTGGACACAATATTCCAGGTGTGGTCTAACCAAAGCAGAATAGAGGGGTAGCATTACTTCCCTAGATCTAGACAATATGCTCCTATTGATGCAGGCCAAAATCCCATTGGCTTTTTTTACCGCCACATCACATTGTTGGCTCATGTTTAACTTATTGTCCACGAGGACTCCAAGATCTTTTTCACACGTACTGCTCTCGAGCCAGGCATCCCCCCATTCTGTATCTTTGCATTTTGTTTTTCCTGCCAAAGTGGAGTATCTTGCATTTGTCCCTGTTGAACTTCATTTTGTTAGTTTTGCCCCATCTCTCTAATCTGTCAAGATCATTTTGAATCCTGCTCCTGTCCTCTGGAGTATTGGCTATCCCTCCCAATTTAGTGTTGATGATGATGATGATGATGATGATGATGATTATTATTATTATTATTATTATTATTATTTGAAAGATGACAAAGGCCATCCAGTCCAATACCCTGCCACACAGGAATATACAATCAAAGCACCCCTCAACAGCTTCTAAAACCTCCAAAAAGGAGACTCCACCACACTCTAAGGCAGTATATTCCACTGTCAAGAAGTTCTTCATTATGTTTAGGTGGGATCTCTTTTTCTATAGTTTGAATTGGCTCTATGTCATAGTTTCTGGAGCAGTAGAAAACAGCCTCAAATATTTGAAAGGATTGAAATCTACCTTTTGTATTCAGAAGCTAATCTCAGAGACATCCACTTTGTATTCCTTATCCAGGACATTCTGCTCTGCTGTATCCAAGAAAACTTTAATATGCTGGGGAATGGTTATGTAGACCTCAAATTGCTTCTGTTCCAACAGGATCAACAGCTTACATTTGCTGCAGGTACAGCTATCCGCAGCCTCCACACACAAATAGGCCACAGCAAGAGACTACAGCAGCACCCTCACAATGAATTAAACAGAACTCTATATCTTCCCTTCAAAACTTCCTGCTAATGACCCACATAAAACACCCCTTTTCTATTAGCGACATTCATGTTTGCTGAGCTCCAGGAGCTGGGGTTGCATCTATACAGGGAACTAGTATATTAGGTATAGGAGAAATATTGGAACCTGAAATATGATGATTAAAAACAGCTCTACCATCTTCTCTGCAGTGGCCATATATGTGTAGAATTATTCTTTGCTTGTATACTGGTTTACCCAAGTGCTACAAAGAATGATGGAACTCAATTGTATGAAAGATGGAGAACAATCAATGAAGCATTTCCTTGGCTTTTTAGTAAATATCCTCAAATGTCTCTGATTATAAACTATAATGGAAATTAATTAGCAAATCTGATAGCTTTCCTCGGGGCTTAAAGATGGCTTATAAGCATTATCTCACTACAAAAGTTAAATTATCTCCCATTGTATTTCTGCTGGCTATTTTTGTGTATTTTTCTTTGCCTATATGCAGCATCTTTTTATATCAAATGCAAAAAATGTGCACTTATGAAATGTCAGAAACAAACAAATACCACATCAAATGCTTTCAAGAATCAAAGAGATGAATACATGCTGACCCTTTCTTTTATTTCTGTTTAGATTCCCACTCAAGGTTCACACTAATCAGAAAGAAGAAACATTTTCCACTTTGCTGTGACACAATATCTATAAAGATGATAAAAGCCCAAAATGCATGCTATAGCATATTGTTCACTAAAATCTGTAGATATGCATTTTTTTCTGATTAACTTTTGAGTTTTATATAAAAAATACCACACAGCATTTCACAAACCCAAGCACCAAATGGTGCCTTTGTTGAAGCTGAATATTAAACCATAATGCCTGAATTGCCACACGTTATTTAATGCTGATTTCCATGTCCTAGTTTGTGAACACATATCAGCAACATATATTTTACAGTGTAGTTTAGAAGTAAGACACAAACCATAGTCTGTTACTTTGAATGTCAAGGGAAACTATAACCCAGAAAATGGAGGAGGGGATCTGGGTCAGCCCAAGACAATTTGGTGAAAGAGACAACATATTTCTTTAGTTATTTGCCAGCCCGAAGACAGCTCAAGGCAGTTTACAGTCAACACAGTTCAATGCCCCCAACAACATAAAATACAATTTAAAAACATTTAGCAAATAATATAAAAACCATACAAAACCAATAAAAACATAAATTCTCAGTGTCTCCTTACTAAAACCATTTTCCAATTCATGTTGTCCAGTTATTCCATAGATCTATATTTGCCTGTTACACTGCATTTGTAAATGTTTGCTCAAAAAGCCAGGTTTAAACTTTTTTACAAAATGTTAGGAGGGAAGGGGCTGATTTAATATCCCTAGGGAGGGCATTCCACAACCAAGGGGACATCACTGAGAAGGCCCTGCTCTTGTCCCTGCCAAATGCATCTGCAAAGAAGGCAGGACCAAGAGCAGGGCCTCCCCAGATGATACACACCCTCCATTACTGACAACAAATGGAAAGTGTGCTGAACAAGCTGTGTTTCAGATGTACTTTCATGAGAAATGGATAACTACTGAAGAAGCACATTTTTGGACTGCTACTGTTGTCTCCATTTGGAGGGATGTAGCTAAAATGGGAGAGTAAATTTTACTGTGTTTGGAAGCTGCCCTACAATGAGTAAGACATTGGAAATTAATTCAGTCTTAGACCTCTTGTATGTGCTGTGCTCATATTCCCTTGATGTTTTAACTTACTACAATGCTAGAAACAAGGTGACTGAAAGAAAATTTTATTGGAGAGGACAGGATTCATACTTGAGATAATACCTTGGGCAGTTTCCTTACCCCAATAGTAGCTTAGCAAACACAGTAGTAGTAGTAGTAGTAACTGTAGTAGTAGCAGTAGTAATCTCACCACATGTATTTATATCGCACTTTCCACCAAAAGGTGGAACATCAAATATTTGCAACCACAGACAAACACAATAAAATGTAATATTGTAAATATAGAAAAAGAAAAAAAAACAATATTCCACCAGCCACAGTTCAGCAGCTTAATCCAGCAAATCAAAAAGGAAGGTCTTCAATCCCTTACAAAAAAACAGGTAGTCCTGCACAGGAACCAGTTGTGGAAGGAGAGGAACCCATATACTGCCAGAGCTATCAGGACATTGATATTTTTTTTTTAGACTTTAGCTCTGAAAATCCCACAGTCAAAATACTCAATGGCTGTGTTTGCAAGAATATATCTGTAGCCTGAGCAAAGTAAATTTTCCAGACTTGAAATACTACCAATAACCATCACATAATTTGGCACTACTTTTTGTGGGAGAGTCACAAAATTGTAAAGTAACATTGTTTTTCAAACACCAGACACGTAATCCATTAACAAGCCATGAGATTTTCTTTCCTGTTTCCACAGGTGAGCCATAATCCACGCTGATGATAAATAGTTGGTAAACAAAGCAAGGCCAGGGGAACCATCAATCAATGAACAAACGGTCTTGGTGTACAGTCTGACCTGTCAAAGATAAAACAGTAAATTATAAAAGCAAGTAAGAGGATAATCTGATGCTCTATTCTTCCAAGTGAAAACCAAGATGTGGGGCTTGCTGCTTTTCCTAAGTGCTACATCTGCTTTAGCTGATGTTTCCGTTCACAGATTTGATGGGTAAGGATATACAGCATTCTCAGCCTGCACATTTTGGGAGAATATACAAGACCTTGGGGGCATATAATTCACTACTGTTGTTTTCTTTAGGGAGAAAGTTTTCCGTGTAACCCCTCACAATGAAGAACAAATAGGCATCCTTGAATACTTGGCCAGCAACTTTCAGGTAAATTGAAATGTACTAAAATGATAATGATTAGAAGTTATTTTAAGTCTACATCTTCTTCTCTCAATGAATAAGAAAGTTAGGGTTGCTCCTACTGCAGAAGAATGTAATGAATGACCAACACAGAGATTCTGAGAATTATAAACCAATCCGAATCTAAAGTTAACCAAAAACTGATTCGTAACCCTTTTGGTACTAATGTTGGTGAGTGATCCTTGATCAAAGTGGTCCCTGGTCAAAAAAAGGTTGAGAACCGCTGTTCTAAGGCAAAGTTTGATCTGGACCCCTGGACATAATTTTCTTTTACTAATACCCCTTGTAATGCTATAAAAATACTATCACCATGATATCCCTACTTCCCATGGAACCTTTCTATCTATTTCCTCTCTCTTTATTATTGGCCTTTCCATCAGAACAGTGAAGATTGTAAGCTCTTGGGAGCAGATACCTTTCTTTTTGATTTTCTGGTGTTACTTTGTAAATTGCTACCATGAAAATGACTCAGCTGAAAAAATGCATTGCTGGAAAGTCTACTATATTCCTAATTCCTAAGTGCCACTGGAAACTTACAGACTGAGCAGAGAAGTGCCTGATTCTAAGTTGTTGAGATGTTGTCATTGTTGGGCTGTAGTAGATAAATTTACATGTGCTGTAGTAGATACATTTAAAAATGGATGAGAATCAGACCAGAAGCAGGACAGAGATTCTGATCAGTATGGCATGCTAAAATTATTTAGGTTCATCATTACCATCACCCACCTTGTCCCATGTTACAATTTCATGTATGTCACCTTTTCTTTCTTGAATGTTCTGTAAAGTACTTGTCCATTCCAAATGCATGTTTGACCTTGATGTAGATGTATGATGGCATGGGAAAACACAAGCAAAGATAGCAGATCTGTTTTCAATATTTGTTATCCCTTTGATGTTGAGAAATAGCTGCAAAAGAGAGGAGGGAAACACCCAAAGCTTCATCATGAAATGTGACATTTACAGTGATATACTGATGTAGGGGGGCTTTTCATTGACCACAGGTCATTGTCAAACTCTGTCCTCTGCTGAGCACTGCTCTTCATTTTGACTTCCATTCTGCATCCTTTCAAATCAAGAAGAGTTTTGCTATTCATGTATCATGTTGAATTTGTGGCATGTCTTATAATGATGCTACCATAGTTTTACTTTTTTTCAAAAATTAGGATATAGGATCCAAAAAGGACCAAAACAGCCTTTAGTCCAACTTTTCCCAAGCTGGTGTCCTTAAAAGGTGTTTGATTACCCTTCCCACCTCCTCCTGTTAGCGTGGCTAGGGATAATGCAGATTGTAGACCAGAACAGCACCAAACTGTAGAAAATTATAGTAGGCCCTCCAATTTCATTAGAGATACAGAACTCACCAAAAAGGGGGGAAACTGGGGGGGGGCTGCTATTTTTTACCTGAAAGAACACTTTTCTATTAATCTCTATGACCTGCAGTGTGACTCTGTGGTCAACTTCTGGTGGAATCACAGTGGAGGATCTAGAGAGGCCATATTAACCAAATCTGTGGATAATCAAATCCACAAAAGATGAACCTGTCAACGTGAAAGGCCAACTGTACTTTAGTCATTGCTGCAAAGACCACCAACTGTTACATAAGAAATTAGTAAAGTGAAGTCCTCTAAGAGTTGCTGGACTGCAATGCTTATCATTCTTTAGCATTCACTATGTTGGGAAGGGCTGATGGGAACTAAAGTCCTACAACATCTATAGGGGCTCACATTCCCAATTCCTGTTTATAAGGGATTGGTGCTACTTTTAGATACAGGCACCAATACCTGACTGGTAGAGCATCTGTTTTGCATGGCCAAGGTCAGCGGTCCTCTTAAATGACTTAGGACCCTTTCACACAGCTCTATATCCCAGAATATCAAGGCAAAAAATCCCACAATATCTGCTTTGAACTTGGTTATCTGAGTCCACACTCAGATAATGTGGGATTTCCTGCCTTGATGTTCTGGGATATAGGGCTTTGTGGAAGGGCCCCATGTTTAACTATACGTTATTCAAATAAATCAGTGGTAGTACCCAATAATATTGGCTGTAGTAAAAAGTAAGTTTGGCTTTGTGTTGTTAGAAAGCCACATCAGTCTACTCAGAAAAATAGTATGCATACCTGGATGCATTTTATAGCTTTGTGATTGACCAGTAAGTAATAATTTCGAACTTAGCATAAAGGAATTAAATTCCTATACATCTCACCTGGGAATAAGTACCATTAAATTGTGAAATTGAACTTTGAGTAAACATTTGTACAGCTGTCCATTGCTCGTGATCTCTATGTGATAGCTCCCCATGAAATAGACCTTACATTTGATTTCATTTGAATTCCACAACTATACATTTCCTCTTCTATAAATCCTGACTAAAGAAAACACAGTTTGTGTTATCCTGGTAACTCAATTTCAGTGAAAGTGCATAATATACAGCACCCATTTAAGGAATGGTATGTTGCAAGTTTTGGTGAAGTACAAGAGTAAAACTTAAATAAATAAAGCAAGATCACAACAAAAACAATTACTATTATTCCCTAAGAAAAAAATGTAGATGACCAAAGGAGAGAATCCAAATTTAACTTGGTATATTTAGATTATAAATGTCACTGTTTACAGGGTAATAATCCCAGAGGTAATAATATTTTGGTCACTGCTTAGATACCAAGTCAGTGGGCACCTTTTAGGCATGCTTTACTCGCAAACATTCCTGTGGACCCATTCAGTCCATCCAAATGAAATGTTGTAGCAAATTCCTAACTTTAGAAAGATATGAAAATATCACTGCCACATCATAAATTCATAAGCCATTTGTTTCTTTCAAGTGATAGTGCTAACATGCCTTTCAACAGTCTTCTTCACTGTGAGACACATCTGAAGCCCAGTCAAGTCCCATCTGTTCTCCAGCTGTTGAGAGATTTTAGTGCAAGGCATATGAGAACCCTGGCTTTGTAAAGCCAGTGAGATAAAGAGTTTCTTTTTTGAAAGGGAGAGGGGGCAGTGAAAGCTGTTGCTATAAACATACAGCATATTCTACCAACATTCCATAGATAAAAACTGGGACATATTTGGTCGAGCAACATCAAATGGGAAAAAGTTATTAATGTGGAGGAGCACATACAATGGGAAAGGCTGTGACAGTTTGCTTTTGGCTAACCGCAAAGGGCAAAATTCTGCCCACTTATATCTTCTTTCCAAGGTAAGTTGACAAAATGATCACTACCTTTGCTCTTTAAACTCAGCATCAATTGAAGTAAGTCAAGGAGTAATTCATGCTGCCTGTCATTTGCTCTGTTCAAGAACATCTTTGTTAAATCCTGCACCACATTTGTTTGCAACTGTTCTCAACAGTTATTTATTTATTTATTTATTTTCCCATGAGTGGGGCACAAAGTGGCAAACAAATGGTTAAAAAAACCAAAATTACATAATCCAAAAAGCACCACATCATCCCCCCAGCTCGAACAAGTAAACAATAAACAAACACATTGCACAAGCCCATTTCATAAACCATAAATAATACACATAATAAATAATAACATTTATCGTTATCATTAAAGATCCTTAGGCCTCAGGCCACTGAGGTTGTACTTAAAACATTATTCTAAAAAATCTCAAAGCTCCAAATCTTTGGCCACATGAACCTTGCCAGACCAGGTTGGCTTTCGGTGATAAGTCTTGGCAATAATCACTAGCTATCTAGTCATAGCTTATTGTGGGTTGTCAGGGAAGGCCTTCTTCCACAGAAAGGCTTTGATCTGGCAGCGAAAGGTAGATAAAAAGGAGGCCAAACATGTCTCTTTGGGAGGTAAGAGCTGTGGAGCCACCACCAAAAAGGCCCTCTTTCTCGTTCCTACCAACCAAACTTGTGACGATGGTGGGACCAAGAGGAGCGCCTCTCCAAATTTATTTATTTATTTATTTATTTACAGCTTTTATATTCCGCCCTTCTCACCCTGCAGGGGACTCAGGGCAGATTACAGTGTACACATATATGGCAAACATTCAATGCCAATTTTAACATACAACATATACAGACATACACAGAGGCTATTTAACTTTTTCTGGCCACCAGGGAAGCTGTTGCTTTAATCGTCCATCTGCGATGCTGATGAAGCACTTCCGCATTCCCGCATGCTTCCCAACTGGAATGCTTTGCTGGAGTCTTCTTTATGGCCTCATAAATCAGTTAATTTAGCCTCCCCACACTTTTAAGGTGGTACCTTATGTTCCTACTTGACAGATGCAACTGTCTTTTGGGTTGCAAAGGTCGACAACAGGCTATAAATAATTGGTTGGAAACCCACTCCAACCCAGGCTGGCTTCGAACTCATTACCTTTTGGTCAGAGTGATCTTAATGCAGCTGACACTCAGCCAGCTGCGCCACAATCCCGGTGCCCACAATCCCGGTGCTCTCAGGGCTCATATGGGCTGGTAGGAGAAGATGCAGTCCCTCCAGTAGACTGGGCCCAAAACCGCAATTTCATTGTTCTCCCAAGAAATGGATTCCATACCTACACATTTAACCTTTTCAATGTCAGTACATGCAGGGCATGGGGGAGGAGCAAATGTATTGACAATATCCTATTACACAAAGTTGCATATACAATGAGAAGATCTAGGTTTTTAAATAAAAAAAATCACAATGCAAGCAAATCAGGCACATAGCAACAACTAGGGTGTGGGGAAAAGAAAATATTAAAACACACAAACTATACACAGATTACTATTCAAATAACAAAATAATAAAGAGACACAAATAAAGGATGAGCTATATTGTTTGACAAGACCACATGTTAGAAAAAACTCAGAGAAACAAAAAAGGCAAATCTGTCCAGCCTTTTGTCATTTCAAAATCTAATAAATGATTGAAGAGATGGAAAAGATAACTAACTATAGCATTTCCATTACCTCACACTAATTATTCTCATATTAGAAAACAAAATGAAATTTCATCTTGTCCAAATGAGCATGCTCTTAGTCATTATGACTGTTCTCATCATACTAAAGAATAGCAAAAAGATATCTTTAAAATTAATTTTAAATTGTTTTAAAGCAATAGCACATTGTGTATGAGTTGGAGATTCCAGCAGGCACTATTGCATACTTATAATGGCAATCTTACTTCCTGGATCAGTAGAATTTGACTTATGACTGGATTAGTGCAAAGGTCTATTGCAATTGGCTTTGACAAAGCTTCTCAACATCTGTGAAACATACTGAAGAGATCTATGTATCAACATGCCATCAGTATAAATTAATGGCAGTGCTACTGTGTGAGGGGGAATGTCCAAGCAGAGCCACATGTACAGAAAAATCCAGCATGAACCTATGAGTTTTTCCCCCCAAACCTCTTCATTGTTTATTTGTTCAGGTTGATTTCTGGAAACCAGATTCTGTTGCTCAAGTCAAAGCAGAAATGACTGTTGACTTCCGAGTTGAAGTGGACAAATCTGCAGAAGTAGAAGATCTTCTGCAGCAGAACAGACTGGACTATGAGTATGTTTTTTCCCCTTATTTGCTTTACTAATATACTGTATATACTCATGTATAAGTCTAGAAATTTTAATCAAAAAATCAGCACAAAAAAACCCTGGTTGACTGGATTGGTCAATGTAAGTCTTATTTTAAAAGGAACCATCTGTGAGAACAGTAGCAAAAGGTGAGCTGACCCCAAATCTTCCCTCAACTTATACATGGATATATACAATAAGTAGGTTACACAGAGGACAGATTGCAGTTACATGCTGCTTAACTAGAGAAAAGCTGAAAATCAGTTCACTCAGCATGAGATACTAGTGATATACCTGAGCCTTAGAATAACTTTGTGTCATAATTAAAGAGGACAGCCCTCAGTTTGTCCTCTGTCTGAAGGGCTATCCAGACCAAGTACAATTCAATTCCCCCCCCCTTTTTTTTTTCTCCTGGCGCATTATTCCTATGCCCAGGAGATCTCCGGCACCACAATAATGGAGGCAGAGTAAGTTCTTTTATTTTTAAAGACGGTTTTGGGATTTTCTGGGGAGGGGGTTGGTGTCTTCGCCATTTTCCGGGTTAATTTAGCCCAGAAGAATGTGGGACTACTGTCTGGTCCAGAATTTTGAGGGAGCAATCCAGACAGCGGAAGTAGTGGGTTTGTCCCACACCTTCTAAGAAGGCATGGAATAAACACACTAACAAATTAATTCACAACAATGAATTCATTTTTCTGTTTAACATCATCTGGACAGCCCACTTTAAAGTGTGGGAACTCCTGCTTTAAAGGGGCTGTCTGGATGCGCCCTAATACATACAGGACCTTTGCTGGTACCACAATGTTTAATGTTTGGACTAAAGAATGTATAGGCCTCATACTCTAATTGGACCTCATCACATGATTTGTCAGCCTCCGTGACGAATCATGGCAGCAGTGAAGCAGCAGTAAGGCAGTTCTGGTGTTCCCACGTGAAGAAGCGTCACCACTGTGCCAAAACCCTGTTGCTCCTTATGAAACCTGAGGCAGCCTCTGTGTTGGTGATGGCAGTGTCCCACCATACTGCAATGACAGTTCACCCATGGAGCCCCACCAGAGGTCGATGTACATAATTTGATGGATGGCATGAGGCTCCATGGGCCTTAGGGTTGCCATAGGTCAGAAACGCACTAATTGCACTATATGCTCTTAGAGCCCCCTTCTTCTCCCACCATGCCTCCCAGCTTCCCCTATGCCTACCCCAATACCATCCCTACACTACCACATCTTCCTTTGTCCTTTTTACCTATATGTATACAAATAAAAACCTTTAATAAAAAAATTTAAAAGAAAGTAAAAAGAAAAAGAAAATTGTTTCAGAAAATCCAATCTGGATAGAAAAGGAAGCAGAAGTTGACCTGTGCTGGGTTACAAGAGCCTCTAAAAGCTGGTTCTCTGTGTTTGCAAGGTAGCAGCGATTATTAAAGTTGGATCCCCAACCTTACTAAACAGACTAACTTCATGAGGAAGTGAGAGGTTACCACTGCAGGCAAGATGGAAGCAACAGGTTTGAGTACATAGACCAAAGGAAGATAAAGAGAGTTCAAACAAAGGACAGACACCTTCTCTCAGTAAACACTGTATGCAAGCATTGATGCTTTTTGCAACCAACATGAAAAAGATTGCTGAGTCCAAAATGATGCAGGAAGAACATGAATCAAAGCAGGGAGGAAAAATCAGCAGATACTTTGTTTAATCAGATGTTAAACTGCATGTTTAGGATTTTTATACTGACTATATGCAGATAATTTATACTCTTTCTTCCTACTATGTAAGTACTGGCAAGATATCTTACCATTTATGGTCCCAGTTAGTAACCTTCTGTAGTCCTGGGTGAAGCGGTTTTGTCTCTGTGGCAAAGGAAGAGTTACTACAACACTTCCTCTAATGAATGTATATAGTTGCCTGCAGCAGAGACCAGTTTGAAAGATTGTCCCTGACAAACTTCAGTGAAGTGTCCTTGCTACAACGAAAGAAGATACAAGTCTTTGATGTGCAGCGGCAATGCCCTGACATCACGTCAATGCATCCAGTTCAAGTGTTCATTATGAAGGCTGGGGGTGCGTTGCAAAGTGGCCTCTCTCACCCTTTGAATGCAGGTCACAGGGATCAAGGATGTTAAGTTTGCACATTTCTCTACCCTAAAGCTCTTTTATTCAGAATGAGTTGAGGGAGAATTGTGGGTGAGAAGACCTCCTTTGCTTTTAACAATGTGGGCTTTTCTGAAGGCAGTCTTTAAAGGTACATGGATGGAAACAAAATGTTTTTATGTGATCTCTAAATGCTTTGAAGGGAATTTTATAGCGTAGTAGTCTTCCCTTAGTTCATAGATTTCAGATGTTTTACACTGCAATTCCCATGAGCCCAAATTCACATGATAATCATGTAAGAATCACAACAGCTGACGTCAAAAACATCTGGACATGAGCTTAGGGAAGATGAGCAAAGTGTATGCACATTTCTTTTGTCCTGTTGTCATCTGTAATGAAATCACTTTTCCCAGATATCTTTCATTTAAAAAAATGCAGAACTTATTTCACAGAGGAGTAATATCATTGTAAGGGACCACAAGGGTCATTTAATTAAACCCCCTACAATACAGGAATAAACAGTTGATACACTCTTGAAAGATGGCCACCAAATAACCATTTAAAAACTTCAAAAAAAGAAAGAAAGAAAGAAAGAAAGAAAGAAAGAAAGAAAGAAAGAAAGAAAGAAAGGTATACAAACCTCAGAGGTGGTATACTGTTGAAGAACTTTTGTAATCAAAAGGTCCTTACTATTTTGGATCTTTTATTATCTTTTTTCTTATATGTTATTTATTTATTTCATGTCAAAAGCATTGCATATATAAGTATAAAACTGATAAAAATAGGAGAAGCACAAGCAGCTAAATAATTTTGGACAAAAGATGGGCAGCAGTGACTGCATTGTCTGTAGCCCTAAACAATTCTTCCTCTGTGCATAAGGCAGGGCATTATGGGCAAACATACAGATGTGGAGTTGTTTGTTCTGCTCCACAGTCTCACAAGGTGCAGGATTCTTCTGGGTAGTGTCGTTTTGCCAGGTTGTCTTTTGATCTGCCCACTCCACTTCTGAGTCTGTTCAGGGACTTCCAAGTGGCCCATTCTTTGTTTGCCCCTGGAGGCAGACCCTTGGTGGGGGGGGGGGGGCATCCATTTAGGATTTCCTGGTTTAGCTGCCCAGAGGAATTATCTTGCTGTTGCTGGAGAAACCTTAAGAGGAATTTAAAAGCATTGCTTTTATTTTGAGTCTACTGGTTCTTGTTCTAGCTCCTGGAGCATCAGAAAACTACTTTGTTTGACTTTCTGGAGTCCAGCTGACTAGCCATGTTGATGGCAAGCAGTAGTGATGATAGACCATCAAAATGCTTTGCACATAGACAATCTCTCCTGGTTCCAGAAGTTGGAACTGCTTGGTGCTTTGATAAGGAACCATCACTGACTTTCAGTGATCTCCAGATAGAGCTAAGGAAGAATTCTGCTTGAAATCCTAAAGAATGATGACTAGCCAGAGAATATAAGGACCTCATCCCATGAGAGGGGAAAAGCAGGGGGGGTTGCCTTCTTTATTATAGTGTTTCTTCCCATTCGGTTTATAAGGAAAATGCATAATCTATTCACCCCCATCACACATAATGTACTTTTGTCTGTTTCTTCTATAATCCTTTGCTTTCTGAGCTATCACACAGGTAAGTGTGATAGTAAGGGGGGAACTATAGCTACAGCAAACTTATCAAAATCTATCAAAATTGCTCAAATCCCAAAGAATAAATTATTATTTAAAATTACCATAAAAGTGTCCTGCAAGAAGATTAATGGTGAGAAAAGGAGCATTGAGGAACATTACAAGATTGCCCACAAGAACACCTACACTTTGATGATCTAACACAGGGAATTTGATATTTCCCATTCCACATTATAATAAATGCCATTAGCAATTTCTGTGTTAATTGGGAGCTCTGAAGATGATTGCTCACAAACTTCTGTTGTTCATTCGTTCAGTCGTCTCCAACTCTTCGTGACCTCATGGACCAGCCCATGCCAGAGCTCCCTGTTGGCCATCACCACCCCCAGCTCCTTCAAGGTCAGTCCAGTCCACAAACTTCTAAGCCTCTATTTTTGCACACTTGGAAAAAAGTTTATAGACATAGTCCCACCAGGAACCGCTGGAAGTAGTTTTGTGTCATATAATCAGCTCCATAGGACTCTATTTTCAAATTGTTTTAAAGTATGTAGAAATGGTGGTGGGGGTGGGACCCTACTCCCAAAGAAGTCTGGGATAGACGGACAAGTCTGGGATAGATGGACAAATGGTCTAACTCAGTAGAAAACAGTTCCTTATAACATCTTTTGCAAATTGTAGCCAACTTTCTGGTGTCTCCTGTCTCTATCCTAGGGAGATGCAGTGCTGCCACTTCCAGGCAAAATAGGAAGAACCAATGACAAAAAATGATTTTGGTTTTCATGTAGAGAAGGAGACCTTAAGAAGAGCTGGAATAAAATGCAAGTAGAGAATGAATATGTCTGTTTTCACTTCTCATTACTGCTTCTATGTTTCAGAGTTTTGATTGATAACCTCCAATCCGTGCTTGATGGGCAGTTTGACAACCATGTTAGAGCTGCTGGACACAATTATGAAAAATATAACCGCTGGGAACTGGTAAGCTGATATTCACATGTGAAAACCTTCTTTCCTTTCCACTTGGCAGGTTTTGCTTAGGCATATTATTTTGATATGAAGGGTCCAAAATTATGAGGAAAGGCAGACGCTTGGTGTGTATTCCAAGTCCAATTCAGTCCCTGTAATCTCCAGTTAATGCTCTTTTTGATAGCAAAATTAGAAAAGTACTGTTTTGGACTTTGAACAACAGTCACAAACCAAGACTGAATAAGAGTGAGGAACCTCCAAATCATGAACTAAATGCAGACCTCAAAATTGTTTTGAATCAATGCTTCCTCTTAGAATTGTATTAAATTCAACATTGGGTGATTCCTTATATCACTAAAGCACTTACATGTTTTTCACTTCACAGATAGAGGCTTGGACAGCTGATATTGCAAATGAGAACCCAACTCTTGTTTCCCGATCACAGATAGGGACAACTTTTGAGGGACGCCCAATGCATCTCCTGAAGGTATTCACTATTCATTTTCTTTTGCGGACTTGTCGGCTAAGAAATAACAATATTTATGATATCCTGGAACTCCAGATTTAATTTTTATTTTAAAAAATAATGCTTTAGGATACAGAACAGATTTTCTGAATTCCTTTATGTTGACATTTTTATCCTTTCTGATTGATCGTAAACCCTTGCAAAATAGCACAGAGTGTAATAAAAAGCTTTGACAGTTTGCATGTATAAATTTTACTGCGTTCCTGTAAGCAAGGTAAATGGTAATCTACCTTTGTATCATTGTGTTCTCCATCTGTTGTTTGTAAACCTATTTGCTATCAGATGATCTATAAACTTTAGTCTCGTCACATACTTTTTTAAAAATAATACCGTGGCCTAAATTCTGTTTTTAGTCCAAACTAGAGTATACCTATTCATCAATGGGATTTACCTACATTTTAACTCATCATTCAATAATTGGTAGATAGCCAAGATAATACCTCTTCTTTTTTGTTATAATATGACACAAAATTATTCAATGTTTATCTGTTTTACTAATCAGCAGGATTACAGGAGTTTTAGCATAGTGATTAGTGTCTATTTGTCTGTGTATTTGTTTTTGTCTTTTATTGTTGATATGGTCAGTGGACTAATCAATAAACAGATCTATCAAATAGTAATCAGCACAGCTGATAAAAACAAAAGACAATTAAAGAGCCTTGCCTTTATTTTGGAGATCAGGTCACTTTTTAGAATGATCTCTATAGTACTGGGACCTTTTCAATCCATTCAATGATAGCACTGTGATTCTATTTTAACTGTCATGACAACATCCTATGGAATACTGGGCTTTGTAGAGTCTGCCTAGGTCAGATCCAAGGTCTACCTAAACCAACATTTTCTTCACACAATGATCAAGTTGTTGCCCATATAAAGCTCACAAGCAGGATAATAGCAATCTTCAGCTCTGCTTTATCAGGAACTAGTATATTAGTTATGGCCTTTTCCCAAAGCTTTCAAAGTTCATTTCTCTAAAGAGAAAATATACCAACCTTAGAATTTGCACATTAAAGAAACAGACATTAATGGCAAGAAATCACAAGGAAAGTAGAAAGAGAATTCAACTGTGAAATGACAGACTCTCTTAGGGTCTGATATAGGACAGTATACATTTTTTAATATAGGGCCCCCTGGTGGTGCAGCGGGTTAAACCTCTGAGCTGTTGAACTTGCTGACCAAAAGGTTGGTGGTTCAAATCTGGGGAGCAGAGTTTGCTCCCGCTGTTAGGCCCAGCTTCTGCCAACCTAGCAGTTTGAAAACATGCAAATGTGAGTAGATCAATAGGTACCACTTCTGCAGGAAGGTAATGGCGTTCCATGCAGTCTTGCTGGCCGTGTGACCTTGGAGGTGTCTACAGATAACGCTGGCTCTTCAGCTTAGAAATGGAGATGAGCACTATCCCCCACAGTCGGAGACGAATAGACTAAATGTCAGGGAAAACCTTTACCTTTACCTACACTTCAATATAATACAGTTTGACTCATATAATCCAGTTCAATGCAGTTAAACTGCATTATTTAAGTATACACAGACCATATAATGTAGCTTCAAGTTGCATTATATGGCAGTGTATATAAGGCCTATGACTGCTTGTGCAATGACAGTAAGCAGCAACTGTTTCCTTATTTTTTTTAAAGGATTTTGCTTTCAGTCCTTTTTTGTTTAAGTTGCCTTTTTCTGTCACTCATAGTAAGGGAGACAGTGGCAAAGCTCTTGTTGCTAATTCATAGCTTGCATAAAATGTCCCTGGGCTGATGCTATGGCATTGTGTGAGGGAAAATATGCACAGCTATTCTTGCCATCATTCTACCAGAGCTTGAGAAAAAACCATGCTCCGAAATTGTCCTCCACACCAAGCACACACACATACACATACCATTTTGGGGGATGTCTAAAGAGCAAACTTTTAGCCCTATCCTTGTTTACAAAAGTAAGCCTTGACTAAAATATGCATGAAAAATATCTGTGTTTACTTTGTGATGTAGGAAAGCTCATTTAAACAAGTGTTACTCAAAGTGCTCTTGGGCCATGGATTGCTGCAAGTCCATGAACCATTGCAGGAAGTTTCCAGGAAAGAAAGCAAGCAAACAAGAACGAAAATTGATACTTGTCCCTGGAAACTGGGGCAAAAAAAAACCCACAGACACAAATACAACTCTGAAGGTCTGTCACATCAGATAGCTTAAGGAACACTGGTTTAGACAACCCAGAGAGAAAATGCATTGCTAGGGAGATGTATGGAAATGGCAGAGCTCCTGTATCGTTAATAGATACAGATTTCAGCCGATGGAGCTCGTCTCATGCCTGTGTGACAAACCTTCTTCTTATGCATGACTGTTAAAGATAAGAGACTGACTTGCTTACAGTCATCCTTTACATTACTATTTATGTATAAATGGGAGATGTAGACACAGATAAAGAATGTAGCACAGTTAAGCAAGCTACTGAAAAATGTACAGTTATCAGCAGGGATAAAATATGGATTCATTGTGTTTTTTTCAATATGGTGATGTTTAAAAGAAGGTGATAAAATGCACCCAGCATTGGGATTTTAATTTCCATGGGTGAAACTCTCCCCTGTTTATCTCTAGTCATGCCTGAGGCTGCGATAGAGACAGAAAAATGATAAGTGCTTGTATGTAATGTAAGTTGCTGCTGTTGCATGATGATGATGATGATGATGATGATGATGATGATGATGATGATGATTTTACAGGTGGGAGTACCTGGTGGGAACAAAAAAGCCATATTTATGGATTGTGGCTTTCATGCTCGAGAGTGGATCTCGCCTGCTTTTTGCCAGTGGTTTGTAAGACAGGTTAGTGATCAAAGCATTAATTTCAATAAATCAGCAGCCAAGGTCATTGACCCAGTTAGAGGCAGAATTCATACTTCCCCCAAAATATTATTCTTTCTCAGTTCTCATTTCTCAGATTCACAAATTTGAGTGTATAAGGATCCATAACAATATTTTTAAAAAATATGGTTTCATAATCTGTCAATTCCAAATAAGAACTCCTATCATACTTAATTTGGAAAAGTTTATGCAGCTTTGTATGTTGGCCTAGGACTCTAGGGGCCCATCCAGACAGCCCCTTTATTGTGGAAACTCCCACAATAAAAAGGGGGCTGTCCAGACAACCTTCTGGGCAGTGCCGCATTAATTCGCTCTAAACCAGGAAAACCATGGCTGCTTCCAATGGATGTAATTTATTTCATTGAGGTTCCATAATTTCCTGTTTCCACCATAAGTTCAGAAATGTATTCCTTGAAGAGAAGCAGGTTGTATTGAATCTAATAATAAAATCAATAAAACAAAAGAAACCTAATAATAGGTATATTATGCCAAAGTAACTTGCTGGGTTTTTTTAATAGCTAAAGGCTCCCAGCTGGTATTAATATACTTAAGAAGCAGGATCTATTCTTCTATACTTGTTTCCAGAAGCAGCTTATGAAACTTAAAACAGATGCAGAAAAAATACATCATACAATAGTTAAAATTAGTTAAGGTATCAATATAGTAAAACAGTTAAAAACAGATTTTTGAAAACAACCACAAGATAGCAAATCAAAGGCCATATCATTCAATTTATCAGAAGCACCTTGTCTGAAGGTCTAAATCCACTTGTTAATCCACATTAGGCATGTATTGCTTCACTAACATTCTTCAAGAAAGCAATAAACCATGTTCTTCTCACTGCAAAAAAGCTCTTAAAAACCACACCATTTGCAAATTAGGATTTACTCTGTGCCAAATGTATAGTTAATTTGCACAATTCAAAATGATGTTTTCTGAACAAATCAATTTTGGCAAACTTTTGTGCAGAATATGTCCACATTTTCTGCATAGGAAACATTTTTTCCTGAATAGAAAATACTTCTATCTAGAAATATTGTGGTTTGTATATAATAACCACATGCAAATTTTGTGCATGAACAGTGAAGATTCCTATCAGTCCAGGAGTCTTCTCAATAAGGGGTTCTCAGGAACATGTTTTTCTACCATTTTTGAATATTCTGTCTATCCTTAGTCTGAACTGGAGTAGAACCAAGGAATCAATACAATTTACATAAATGTTGACACAACAAGTGTGTTTGATTTAGGTCTTATTTTCATGTCAGAAATGGCTTGAGAAACTGCAAGTCACTTCTGGTGTAAGAAAATTGGCTGTCTGCAAGGACAGTGCCCAGGGGATGCCCGGATGTTTTGTCATCCTGTGAGAGGTTTCTCTTATATGTCCACATGGGAAGCTGGAGCTGACAGATGGCAGCTCACCCCATCTCACAGATTCAAACCGCCGACTTTCAAGTCAGCAATTTAGCCGGCACAAAGGTTTAATCCATTGCACCACTGCGGCTCCTTGATTTAGGTAAGCTGCTAGTATTAGGTATTATTGTATTAGTGGTGTAAAAAATCCATTTATTTCCATCCTTGATAGGAAGTATGTGCCTTGACACAGGGAGACACCATCAAAAATTGTAATTTATTACAGATGTTTCACTACTGAGCAAGATAAGAAACAATGCCAGAAATTTTGCATAGAAGTCAGTAGCAATGGCAAAATGAAAATGATTTTTGCAAAAAGAATTTTCTTTAGATGCAAAAGTAATGTTCTTGTTTAAAAATGTTTACACAAAAAAATACCATTAAAGACATTTCAAGAGATATTACCCAAAATTCCTTAATTCAAAAAGTAATTGAAAATGCATTCTAGTTCTATTCATATTATTAGCAATTGCCAGTTTTCACAAAGTCAGTTATGAAATTGACTTTTCAATTTCCAGCTTTCACTCAGTTAATAAAACAATATGTTTGCTTCTATGAAGTTCTCTAATGATTGCTTCTGACAAAATAACTTCGAAATATGGCTCTTTTGAGACTCATGTTTAGTAAGAATTCCTACACCAACATTTAAAAAACATCAGTACCAGTAGCATATAATTAACAAACAGTTCAACTGGCCTAAAATAACTGACTCTAGGATGTTAGCAACTAGTCAGTGATGGCAGAAGAGCTTCCATGTTTGTCCACTAGGACAAGTATGCAAGAACAGATCCAGAAACCGAAAGTGACATTGCAATCATATCTTTGCAACATCTTTTCCAGTAGCATAGCAGAGAGTGAAATGTTATCTTTTTTAGCAGTTTAGATTGCTACTACAACTAGTAGTAATCTAAACTGCTAAAGTGGTCTCAGATATTTACCCCCCACTCCACAGAACAATGCTTGACTTTTGGAAATAACTTAAAACAGCTGGGTTGCAATCCCAGCCATATATACCAGTGCTTTACATGGCATTTGGATTCATATATTTCTGGATTAGATTGAAACCAGATGATATCCTAATATATTTAAGGATCCCTATTATACTAGAGTTGAATGAAAAGTAATGCCTCCACCTACGTAACTCCTCAACAGATGGCAGTACTGGTATGCGGCAGGTACTGGCTTGTTCAGTAGACTCTCCTCTACAGTTCCATTTTAGCAGGAAGCCTTAGCATTGAACAGTTGTGTTGTTAAAGTGTGAAGTATGGAACACTGCACAGATGGTCGGTCAATGCGACTTAAGCAACGTGCAGTCATTGAATTCTTGACAGAAGAAGGTGTCACCCCAAAGGAGATTAATCAGAGAATGCAAGCTGTTTATGGTGACTGTGTTGATGTGAGTACTGTGCATCAATGGGTGAGTAAGTTTAAAGATGTTGAGATGGGAACATCTGACTTGTGCGACAAACAAAGAGTTGAACGTCCTGTGACAGCAACCACCGAGTTTCACAAGCAAAAGGTTGACAGATTGATTCAGGACGATCGTCGTATCACTCAGAGAGAAATTCCAAGCATAATCAGTATTTCACAAGAACGTGTGGGTCACATTATTGCTTTGCTTGGTTATTGGAAGATCTGTGCATGATGGGTTGCGGAAACAGAGTGTCGACTTCTTCCATGACAGCTTCAGAAAAGTTGTTCATCATTGGCAAAAATGTATCCAATTGTCTGATGATTATGGGAAAAAGTGAATAGTGGTAGTTAAAGAGCACATTATTTCTGCATTTGATTTATTAAAATATTCCCATCCAAACCCAAGTAATGAAGGTGGAGGCATTACTTTTCATTCAACCCTCGTATCACCTGAAAGGCCTTTCTTATTGATTGGGTTTTGTCATTGCTTCTGGTCTTCATTCGATAGGTGATAGGTAAGTAGAAGATGCCTGGCTGGGAAAGGCCCCTGGTTCACTTTAATGAGTAATGACTCCTAGGTAGTCACGTGTTCATTGTCCAAAAGGAGGAAGTGCATCAGTCAAAAGAAGACAAATGGGACATAGATTGGCACATGACAATTTTAATTAATACATGTAAATGCAATATTTTCAAATTAACTCTGCAATCTTAGTAGTAAAGAAAACTCTGATCAGGTGACTGGCATTCCTTCTCAGTCAGCTGTTCATGGGCTGTTGATATACAAGTTCCAAATGGGTACTTTCCTTTCTCATGGGCTTTTCACTTGAAGCCAGAGTTGAATTTTACCATCCTTGAAATATACTAAGGATCTATAAAGTAGGCCATCAGCCACATGAAGACTCAAAGGAATTTTAAACCCCCAGTATGCCAAGATTTTCTTCTCTGCTTTCAAAAGGCCTCTCCAGGAAGAGGAGCCAATAACTGGGCCAATAAAATAACAATAATTTCAAAACAACTATATTTGGTTATAAAATTGCTTCTGATTATCCTATTTCAATTGCTGAGGAGGAGTCACCTTGCCAATTTATAGTCTTTTTTTCTTTTTTGCAGGTCATTTGATTTAGTGACTTTCTCGATACTTTGTTGAAGGCATTCATGGCTGGAATCACTGGGTTGTTGTGAGTTTTCCGGGCTGTATGGCCTGCATCTATGGATGCCTGCCATAGATGCGGGCAAAACGTCAGAAGAGAATGCTTCTGGAACATGGCCATACAACCCGGAAAACTCATAACAACCCAGTTTCTCAATATCATTTTTCATCTTTCTGTTTGCAGTCACTAGGCAAAATGAAATAATAAACACACAAATTCATGTAAAATAAAGACAGTAGATTACTTCAGTCTTTCATAGTTATATTTATACCAGTTCTTTGTTATATCTGCTTTATCTGTGGCTATACTTAGGCTGTTCGAACCTATGGAACTGAAACCATTATGACCCAACTTCTGGACAACTTGGACTTCTATGTATTACCTGTCTTGAATATTGATGGCTATGTCTATACTTGGGAAAAGGTAAATTGCATATTTGTTTTCAGAATTTAAACATCTGGTACTGTACTTGAGTCAGATGCAGTACTTCTGAAGTGGCACTCACAAATACCTTCCATTATAGTCTCGCATGTGGAGGAAGACACGTTCTGCAAATCCCGGCAGTAGTTGCATTGGTACGGATCCCAACAGAAATTTGGATGCTGGATGGTGCAGTAAGTATATCCTATGGCATAATCTGGTTTGAAAAGATAGAGAAAGGCAATAGACAGAATGTACCTGTGTAAGATTTCAGAGAATAAGGCCTTTACCAAACGTAAGAATACATTTTCAGTATGAAATTAGTTGCACTCCTTGAATGTATCCCAATGGCCATATGAAGGAGCATATATTTCCTTACATTGAAAACACATAGTGAGAAGGTAATGTTTGCAAAGTGTTTTTAAAAATATTGCAAAATAAGGTTACAGCTATAGGGTGTTTAAAGTGTTTTGAACATGTGAGAGTGGTGTGCAAATTTTTAAGAGCTGCTGTTAGCTTCTGAGGCTCATTTAATATTGTTCTATGTTGTTTAGAACATTGTAAAATAAATTCTGAATGACATTTAAAACAAAACACTATAATTTGGTCACTGGGGCTCCTTCTACACTGCCATATAATCCAGTTCAAAGCAGATAATCTGGATTTTATATTGCAGTGTAGAAGGGGCTGTAGAACCTGTGAAGATGCCAGCCACAGATGTAGGTGAAACATCAGAAGAGAATGGTACTTGAACACAGGCATACAGCCCGCAAAACTCACAGCAACCCAATGATGTTTTTCCTTTTTGTAGAATATAACTGAAGATTTATTTTGCAGAGTCCACTGTAAACTCTGCATGTTATTGACCCCACCATTAAGTTAAGAGGACTCTATTTGGGGTTGTGACCCACAGTTGAAGAAGTAGTATATTAAATGTTTGAACACTGAAGCTCATTAGTACAGAGAGTACTAGCCAGCCTTCCCTGCAATCTATTCTTTGTGCCTGCAATCTATTCTTTGCATGCTTACTTAGAGTAAGCTACATTGAACAAATGAAGGGCATTTCAATATGGGTATTGTGCTTGTAATCGCATCTCCCTATACAGACCACCCTGTGCACTGGGTCAGCGGAGGAGGCCCTCCTCTCGATGTTTAATTATCTGTTGTTCGTTTACTGTTCTTTCTGTGCATTATCTTGTATTATTTTTTTAAAGGTAATTTTTATTAGTTTATAATTTAAAATGATGGAGCAATACTGCTCCCACATAGTGACATACAAACATATACATTGTAACAGTGCCACACATATAACATATAGAAAAATACCCTCTTGTTGTACAAACTCGAGATGGCAGATCTTTCGTTCTTGCTCCCCTCTGACACTTAGTCTGGTTGTTTTCTTTCTTCTACAGTCTCGTAGTGTACCTTATTGTAGGGGGCAGTTGTTTGTTGTCCCTTCCCCCCTCCCGGCCCCTCCCCCCCCCCTACTCTATTGTGATACATCCTTACCAATGTGTGATGTGTTTGTATTCATTTCAGGCATTGAATGTTTGCCTTTTGTTTAGTGTCTGTATAAATAGAAAGGGGTACTGGACAGTATAGTTCTCCTCATTTTCTTTCTACTACCCACAGCTCTTGGTGCATCAAAAAGGCCATGTGATGACACTTACTGTGGCAGCGCACCTGAATCAGAGAAGGAGACCAAGGCCTTGGCTAACTTCATTCGTCAAAACCTCTCAACCATCAAAGCTTACTTGACCATTCACTCTTATTCTCAACTACTGCTTTATCCATATTCTTATACTTATGATGTAACAAAGGACAACGTGGAATTGGTAAGCAGGAACTAAATGGCGATATTATTCTAAATTTAAAAGGGTTGTGGTGAACTTACATTTATTTCACTCGTATTGCTTGGGTATTATAGATCTGAAATGCTCTTCATTGTGAAGTTCTTTAGGTGTTGAAAAGTATATAAAAATTTAGAGGCACAATTAGGTAAGGTTTATATGGGAACAAAAAAGGGGAAGAACAACAGAAACAAAAATTTTAAGGATCAGTGCAAGAACTGGGCCAGTCTCCTTCAAATTTAGAAGTTCCACTCTTCAGAAGAGTGGAACTCATTTCCCCCTTTTCTCTTAACAAACTCTCACTTATTATGTGGGATCCTTTCATTGCTAGTCTATATTTTCAATTCTATTATTAAACAAAATAAAATTTTCATTTTAAGAAGCCTTTAAAAAAGGGAAAAGGTTGAAAATAAAAATATGCCTAAATACCCTAAAGGCACCAGATCTTCTCTGATTTTGGAAGCTAAGCAGAGGTATCCCAGGTTAGCAATTGGATGGGGTACCACTAATGATTACCAGGTTCTGTGGGCTATATTTCAGAGGAATTCATAGATTTAACATAAGTCAATAGGGGACTTGAAGACACATAATATACTTAACAGAAAAACTAGATAGGTATTTGAATGGCAAAATTCAAAGCGGTCACAATAATCTTTTATAGCACTTTAGATCTACTAGGTTTTATCTGGCACATGAAAATACATGTCTGATAAAAACACATTAGTCTTTAAGGCATTCTAAGTTTCTTTGTTGTTTGCATATATTGAGTTTCTGAAGGAGAACATTTATAGTACTATGTATTAAAGGCTTTCATGGCTGGAATCACTGGGTTGCTGTGAGTTTCCAGGCTGTATGGCCATGTTCCGGAAGCAACATGCGAGGTCTGTTAGAACCTAGGCATGTGAGGCTTGTGCAGGGGTGGCTCAACCCATTACACAAAGTAAGCATTTGCAGTATAGTTGATTTTGCCCAGGGGTGCTCTTGAGGTGCTCTTGGGGGAAAATAGACCTTAACATATGCAAGTTGAAGTTAGTGGGGTGTATAGTTCACTTACAATCAAAGAGCATTCTGAACTTCACCAATGATGGAATTGAACCAAATATGGCACACACAACTCCCACGACAAACAGAAAATATATATTAGTGATTGGTTGGGGGGTGGGGAGGGTGCCAAAATACTGTTTGCTTATAGTTGAAAGTTACCTAGGGCTGCCTCTGGGTTTATATAAAAACCCTGGACATTCCACAGATATATAAACCCCACTTGCCTAGTATCCAACAGACCTCACAACCTCTGAGGATGCTTGCCATAGATGTGGGCAAAACATCAGGAGAGAATGCTTCCAGAACATGGCCATACAGCCTGGAAAACTCACAGCCACCCATTTATAGTACTGTTAGCTACTCAAAAGGAATTCCCACCTCCTTCAATCAAACTTCAATAGAATGTGTATTTCTATTGAAGTTTTATTGGATGCATACTAGGGCTGGGCGGTTTCGTTTCGTTAATTCGTAATTCGTTAATAATTCGTTAATTTTTTCAATTACAAAACGATAACGAACGATTCTGGAGCAATTATTTAAAAAAACGAATTTTCAAAAATGTTTTGTAAATGCTTCGTATTTCGATATTGTATTCGTTTTGTTATTGTTTTGAGGTCGTTTCGTTATTATTTCCGCATGTCTGGGCCAGTTTTATGGTTTAATTAGTGAAAAAAAATTATAATATCACACCAACAGTCAACAACAGAGGGAGAGGGAAGCTTCAGAAGGTTTTGGAGGTTTTTTGCGTATTTCGCGGTCGCGTCCGCCATTAACGAATCGATTCGTTATTGTTTCGGAAATCGATTCGTTAATTTTTTACCATTTACGAAATTTCGTAAATATCGAACTTTTTAAAAGGAAAATTTTGTAATTATTTTAAATATCGAAACCAAAAAAAACCCCCAAATACAAATCGATTTTAGAAACAAATTTTTCCGTTGTTACCCAGGCCTAATGCATACATAAGACTTCAAATCACTCCACATGGTTATTGTCACTTCTGCTATTTAGCATAAATTTGGCTTCAATTGGGAGCTATACACTTATCAGAAAATACATGATAAGAAAAAAATATGTCTTTAATCCTAACAAAAAATAGTTGTGTATTACTATTTCGGTGTATTACCAGAAACAGATAAAGGGCAAATTTCAGTTCTCAGGATGCTCCTTTATATTGGAAGACTGATACATAGTTGGAAATAATCATCTTGTTTTCAGTTATTTTTCCAACCATGTATCAGTCTTCTAATATAAAGAAGCATCCTGAGAACTGGAATTTGCCCTTTAACTGTCTCTGGTAATACACCAAAATAGTAATACACAACTATTTTTTGTTAAGATTAAAGACATCTGCCTACAATACTGAATCCAGGACATATATTTGATACATCTTTGTTTGTCTTTGCTAATAGGGTTTCTTTCCTATTTTCTTTTTTCTTCATCAAAAAAATCCATAACTTTCTCAGAAGAAAATTACTTCAGTGCTTTGGAATATTAAAGAGTAGATGTTGCTGGCACTAAACACAACATAATAAACAAACTATTTTTTCAAAAAAGAAATCAAGAGCATTTTAATTCCCTAATTCGGCTGCCAGAAGTCCAAGGCCAAAACAGAAAGCTGGCCTTTTGCCTAGAATCCTGACAGATTTATAATGGTTCCCTAGTGGAAATATCAGGATTTTCAGGCAGAAATGGACAGAAAGGGCAGATTAATTGTTTTCTGCGGACATCTGGCAACATAATCTTCTCATTTTCCATTTTGGAAAAAAAGAAGATTTTTTGTTTTGTACATTGTTATGCTGGATTGTTTTCCCTCAAGCCAATATGTTCAAGTTGTGTTTATTCCAGTGAACTAGAACCATTTCTTCCTTGTTCTGTTTGCCTTTCTTTCTGACACAAGGGTTTCTAACTTCACACATTGTTGTTTGGTCTAAATGAAAAGAAAAACAGAGGCCAGGATCCAAAAAACTACTCAAGGGGTTGACGATGACCAGTGGGAATTTTGAATTATTTTAACTTCTTTAACCAGGCTCCCATGCCATTTTACAGATTGCACATTGTTGTAGTCTGTGGCTTGATATTAAATAAACACAAGACCAAAGTCTCCTCCTCTGTGCAAAACTAGCGTCCTTTTAAGAACTGGATCCCAACTAAAGCAGGGGGAGATATGGCATGTGTTTCAGATTCAGAGACTCATTAACGTTTTGTACAGTGTGCTGTATCAAGCCCAAATGTGATCAAATATACTGCTTTCTCTTGAGATTTCATACTTACAGCTGTTTGCATTTTATAGTTGCTACATGGAAGTCTTTTAAAACCACACCAAAATGTGGCTTCTTTCACTGCCAATTTCTGTCTTGTTATCTCATACAAATGCAGCAAAGCTGTTGTTTAGCATCTACGAAAATATCACTTCTTTCTTTTCCCCCAAGAGTTTTGGAAAGGTAGAGTCATGGTATTTTTCCAAATGTTTGCAGTTTTAATTGTACAATTGATTAGTTAAAAGAAAGAAAGTTAAGGCTTTGATGCTGAAATCTGATACAAGAAAGTGGGCATAGTCCAATTCTGTATCCCAATAACCTATTGACATAAATAGTATATAAATATTGTACAAGGGTAGATGTGGCATGTATTTTGTTTTGTTAAATGTCAGTGGTTTCCTTTAAGAAATTAGAAGACACCTGAGTTATTAAGAGTATATCAAAATGATGGATATTGATTTCAAACCATCATATTTCATGATGGCAACATGTTACACAAAAGGTTACAAAGGGTTTAATGCAGTGTTTCTTAACCTGTGGGTCCTCAGATATTTTGGCCTTCAACTTCCAGAAATCCTACCTGCTGGTAAACTGGCTGGGATTTATGGGAGTTGTAGGTCAAAACACCTAGGGACCCACAGGTTGAGAATCACTGGTTTAATGAGTTATTGAGTTATCAAGTTTTACTAACCATTTTGAGCCTGAAACAAAGCTTAAAAATAACTTTACAAATGGTTTGCCATCTTGCGAATAAGTGAGGTTAGGGTCTGCTGTGTGCTGGGAGACGCGTCAAGTGGCAATCCTTCAAAACTCTATGCCCCACCCTTTCAAGTAGTAAGAGCTTCATTCATGAGTGGTTCACGGTTGTAGAGATATAGCTAATCAAACCTCTTTAAACACCTTGTATTGTAAGTGGGCCTTACAACCAAAGTCTCTGAATTAAAGTAAATGTAAAGCTTTCCCCTGACAGTAAGTCTAGTTGTGTTTGGCTCTGCGGGGTGGTGCTCATCTCCATTTCTAAGCCAAAGAGCCGGTATTGTCCATAGATACCTCCAAGGTCCATAGATACCTCCATGGTCAGCATGACTGCATGGAGTGCCGTTACCTTCTCGCAGAAGTGGTAGCTATTGATCTACTCACATTTGCATGTTTTCAAACTGCTAGGTTGACAGAAGCCGGGGTTAACAGAGGGAACTCACCCCACTCCCCAAATTCTAACTTCCAAACTTTTGGTCAGCAAGTTCATCAGATCAGTAGTTTTTAACCCACTGCATCACCAGAGGGTCTCTGCATTAGTGATTTTTCTCCTTCAGAAGATTTGAACTTCATTTCCCAAAATTCCTGAGGCATCCTAGAGTTGAAGTCCAAAATCACCAGAGGTCCCAAGTTTGAGAAACACTGTTCTATGTCTTCACTCAAAGGAAGTACTTTAGCTCAGGTATATGCCCAAAATAGCATATGCATAGGGTTGTATCTTTAGGCTACAATTTTATAAAGCTTCACTATAACTAGGCAATTAGCCCCACTGAACACGAAAAACCCACTGGAAAACTGATCAATCCCACTGTCTGCACACAATAGCAAATTTCCACTGGTGATTAACCCCTGTGATAGAGTCGCCATGTTAGAATTACTTGAAGGCACACAACAAGAACAGTATATGGGGTAAGAGTGAGCAACCTGCAGCTTTTGGGTAACTTGTGCTGCTTAGGCCCCTCTTTTTTTAGTCCTTTGAAGTCCCTGCTCATCCCCAAAATCTTCCAACTTCCCAATTTTTGAAATTGCACAATTTGGAATGTGGAATGGAATGCTCACAAATGTGCAAAATTCCCCCCAACTCCAATAAAAGCCCTTTGTAGTCTTCCTATACCTCAAATATCTCTATTTGTATCAGTCCTTCTCTAATGCGATTGTTAGAGTGCATTCAACTGTTAAACATCTTGATTTAAGGCACAAACACACCAATGGCTTGGATAAAGAAACTAAGCCTTATTGTAGGAACACCATTCTGAGATAGAAACGTTACTTGGGGTACTGATATAACCTATTTCCATCTTATATGATCAAGAGGGGATTCATGGGAAGAAGAAGAGGTGGAGAAACATCCCTAAGAGTATCAGTTTACACTACAAAGGGGTCTGGATAGGTAGACAGAGAGGACATTTCAAGTCACTCAAACTTTACCAACCCGTTATCTATTTTTATTGCAATATCTGGTACGTTAGAGATTGCCATCTCATGTTTTTCTAGCTTTGCTATGATGTGGTAAGATTGGTAATCAAATGAAAGCTTAATGCTTTAGGGTGAATGAAACTCATGCCCACTATCTTCTGCAAAACTCCATGGATTCATCTGTAGGTCTGAACAGAGATGGATCATACTTCATCACTAAGTTTCTTCTCAAGGGAAGCAAAAATTAATTTCTGCAATTTGCTTAATGTTATAAGAATGTCTTCAAAAACCATATTGTTTTGAAGGCTGTTCTGTACAAACATCACACGTACTTGTTTTGTACAAACACCACACGTGATTGTTTTGTACTCCACAGGAAAACGTGATTGTTTCCCTGTGGAGTAAGTAGCATTTTCTGCACCAAAAATGATATTTATCTACAGAAATAATAATTCCTACATGAAAAAAATATTTCTTATGTTTAAAATGTTATTTCTGTGCAATCACTAGTGTATTAATTATTTCCATAATAAGTCACCAAGTACAGCATTTTCTGTATAAAAAACAGCTTTTGGTGAAAGGAATATTATTTCTGTGTAGAAATATTTTCTGCATAGAAAATTCTATTTCCTATGAAAAAAGGCAATTATGTGTAATTTTTTACGGTGCAGAACTAAATATATAGAAAATTCTCATCCTGACATTTCTTCATTGGCAATGTCCTTGAGTTGCAATAAAATTCAGACCAAAAGAAAGCATACATGAGATTTTCCATTAATATGTTAAAAGAAAAGGGCTGGAATTCAGTATCTAGGTAAATTGACTTATGTCTACATTAATGGATTTGTATCTAGGGATTGTCAGTGTACATTAGGATGGTGCTTTTGATTCTGATGGGTTTTTTTTTGCAATGCAGTAGGAGGGTTCTGTAGTGTTTTTGTATTGTAGCCAATTATGCATACATTTACATAACTTTGACTATGATACAGAATTACTACCAAATGTTTAAGAAATTTGTGTTTTCTGCTTTCCTCTAATTTGAGATGGGAAAAGAAGTAGTTGTGTCAATGCACCTTCCCAAAACATCTGTGTGCAGTGTGTATGATAACCACATGATCCTCTATGCTTTGTCTGTTCCTATGGAGGAAGACTCCCAGCAATATACTCCATCCAGAATAGCACTGAAAGAGATGAGGGAACCAGATACTTTAATCTATGGGTTGTGTAAGTGCACCAAGTCACTTGTCAACTTGCAGTAACCCTATACATTTTATGGGGTTTTCTTAGGCAGAGAATACTTAGATATATATTTGACAGTTCCTTCCTTCCTCTGAAATAAAGCCAATAGTACCTAGTGGTCTCCCATCTATGGACTAACCAGAGCTGATCTTACTTAGCTTCTGACACATTTAGGTTCTGGTGCCTTTAGGGTATTTAGGCAGTACTGGTACTATATTATTATCAAGTGTACTATAATCCAATGAACTACATTTTGGGCTGTAGTAACAAGGCATGAATGTTTGTTGAGTGATCAGTGTAGAGGACCTAGTGTCTTTCAAAAAGTTACATCCTAAGCTTTGTTTCAGACTATAGCTTGCAAGTGGGAAGACTATAGAGATGGTTGGTTCCTTTGTTTTCTACCTTTTTTCTTTATTGCTGGTTAGAATAATTCATAAAACGGTTTAAAATCCACCGAGACTAGCCTAATTACCAGCTGCTTCAAGACTGAAAACAGCCATAATGAATCGATAGATATTCTCTACATATCTTCAGATGCGCTCAACAGAACCATGAGTCAGGCAAGCCTTGTCCTTCCAGTAAACATAATACTTCTACCAAAAAAAAATCAAGCATTCAAGCACACTTATTCTAAAAAGACTCTAGAGTCCAGGCCAAGTATTGTGTTTATTAGTGAATGTTTATTAGTGGAAAACACGCTAGTAGTACCCTACTGTCAAAGTGAGAGAAACAAGGTCCTTTTCAGAATTCTCACAGATGTTACACAATAGTCTCAAGACAGCTTCTTGGAAGAAATGTGTTATTAATGAAAAGTATATTCCCGAGTTTCACAATCAGTTCCATAATTCTGTTTATTGCATTCCAGTACTTAAATATATGCACATCCATGCATATGCACATATTTCTCAAAAATTCCTTTCCTTTCATTAACTGGAAGCAACTAAGGGACCCTTCCTCACATCGTTGGTATAGTAACTGTCTGCCTTTTCTTTGCAACCAGACTTTGCTTAAGCAATATTTATATTGAGCTAGTAATAGTAGATGTAAGTCCCCTCCACCCCAATGAAATATTTCATGCTTTATATTGGCACATTCTTTGGCCTAAGTTTCTGTTTAGAGCATTCTAGTTCTATCTTACATTGTTCCATCTTACATTGAGTCAACTTGTTCCCACTTTATTTGTGCTTGAATGATAAAAGAGAATGCTGGGAAGATTAACATGGTGGATACCTGGCTATAAATCTCAGTAATCGAAAAATACAACAGTCTTCAATTTTTCTATAGCAGTGGTTTTTAACCTGTGGGCCGCAAGGATGAAAGTCTGGTCCGCGAGCCTCCTTCCTCTTTATTTTATTTCCACTCCTTTTGCACCACCTGTCACTCCTTCCCTGTCACTAACCATATGTTCTGTATCAGAAACTAGAGCTGATGTGGTCTATCCAATACAATTTTCTGAATCAGCATCAAACTGAAACTAAAGTTGACCAAAAACCGATTAGTACCCTTTTGGTATACTAATGTCGGAGAGTGGTCGCTGGTCAGAGTGGTCCCTGGTCAAAAAAAAGGCAGAGCTGGTGAAAATATTTAGTGCATTGAGCACTGACAAATTAAGTGGTATCCAACTGCATGAATTTAGCAGTGTAGATGTACTCTTTATAGTGTATTGAGCAACATTAAACAGCATTACTCTGAGAAGCCATTTTATTGGCATTTTGACTGAAATTTTTTCAAGTTTTATGACAATCCCTCATTTTTTAAATAAAATAAAAATCAAAAATAATGAAAAAGCAGCATGCAATGCAGTACATTATATTTTAGCATTGCAGCAATAATAATTATTTTATTCTCTACAGAATAAAAGAAGTCAAACCCTTTGCAAAAAGAAACTTTCCAAGTTCGGTCCTGATCTTCCATGAGAAATTGTTATAGACATCCAGGTTGGCACAGATCGTGCAGATGGCTAGACTATATGGAGCAGATGGCTGGGCTATATGGAACTAGAGAAACACTTATATTCCTATCTTGTATCTGCTCCAAGGTTATCAAGATTAAATTACGGGACAGTCATAAAAACCCATGTAGAACAGTTTTATACGAAATAGAGGCAGATGAGGTCCCAAGGCCTAATTAGGATTTGAGTATAGGTGCCAGCTAATATCCCCCCTAGCTAACTATGTAACACAGCTGCACTATTAGGTTGTGAGATATCAAAAATGAACCCATGCAGATGAGTTTGGTGTCATTTTTCCTCATCGTGATGAATGATGTACTAGATACAACAATGGCAGTTCAGCTCAAGTATCATCTGATAGATCCAAATCAGCTCCCAAGACAAGCCAGCAGTGGCTTTATTGAAACAAATCTAAAGAGCTGATTTGGACAACTGTGATGAAACAATTTCCTTTAATCTGTTAACTGCCAGGAGGCACAAGGCTTGATACATTATCTTGTAAGTGCAAACTTCAAGAAGTGATATGGACAGCATGAAATAATAATGTGGTTTTCATGAACTGTCCCTATTATCTGAAAATATGCATTTTAAATAAGATGACTTGAAAAGCAAGTCAAATGCTATAGTAGGCATAAAGATATTTTTTAATTGCTAGGAACATAGTATGAAGAAAACTTATAAAATCTCAAACATGTGCAGTACGTTGCGGATAAACCTTTGAAAAGACCTGAGGTGGGAGGCAAGATTGTCACTGAACTTATCATTGGAATTTCTGGGTTCTGTTGCAAAACCAGAAAAACAAGCCTGCAATTTTATGAGCACAATGGGGAACAAACAGCTTGCTAATATGATTGTTATGCTACTTGGACAAAAGGTAAACATTTTGTAGCAAGATGTACAAAAGCGCTTGTACCAGAAGGTTGATTATCTTCCTCCGTAACACAGTAGAGGCAAAATGGGACCATTGCCACCTAAAGAAGAATTATCCCTCCAAATGAAATCTTCCTTCCCAAACATCCAAGATTACAGTAACCTAAAATTTAAGGGATAATTTTTATTTGGCAGTAACTAAAATTCAAATTGATGTCTTCAAAATGTTTGGCACCATAATTTCCAGTATTTTTTTCCTATAAGTTATGCCCGCTAAGACTGATGGGAATTGAAACCCAACCTGCCTCAAAGGCAATAAGCTAGGAAAAAGCTGGGATATAGAATAGCAACATGTGAGTAAAGCTCCTGAACATCTTTCTCTTTTTAGAATAGACTTGCTAAAGCCACTGTTCAAGAGCTAGCCACAGTGCATGGGACAAAATACACATATGGTCCAGGAGCTACAACTATCTGTAAGTATCACTCTAATAATGATATAATAATCATCAGCATCAGCATCAACATAATGGCAAATTGTTACTATCACTCAGTGTACATGTCTGTACAGTTGTTTCCCACCTTCTTAAATTAGATATTGAACTAAACAAGCAGTATGAAAAGCAAGTGAAAGGAAAAAGGAAAAAAAACTTATGCAATGAAAACTGAGAGTAACATGTTGAGTTCCCTTAATTCAATACTAGGATGTTGTTCTCAGCCACATTTTTTTCCAGTTGCAACCCATTGTTATGTTATGTTACCATTTTTTTTGTTTTTATTGGTTCACACTGCTAAATGTCTTCAAATAGACATCCTGTCTGTTGCAGCATAATGTGGGAGAAATGGGGAGATGGAAAAGGTATATCTACACTCTTAGAAGAGGAAAGGGAGAGAGGTGGTTCAGACCATGAAGATCCATCAGCTCCAAACTTCTAAGGAAAGGCACAATTTGTGAATCTTAAGAAAGTCAGCTGCGTTGGCCTTTGCTCTAGTATTTAACTGGTGCTCCCTTTCATTCACCTTTGCAGATCCCGCAGCTGGTGGCTCTGATGACTGGGCATATGACCAGGGCATCAAGTATTCTTTCACCTTTGAGCTTCGTGACACAGGTCGATATGGTTTTGCTCTTCCTGAATCTCAGATCAAACCAACTTGTGAAGAGACCCTGGTTGCTGTTAAACACATTGCCAGCTATGTCCTTGATCATCTGTACTAATGTTGTAGTCTGGGACTATTAAAGAGTGCTTGATTCACAATAGCTTCTTTTCTCTTCCTTTTTTCTTGTTATGAGTTATTTTGGGATCTACAAAGAATCTCAAAACATTATTTACATTAACACCAATGGACCCATGACATTCTCTGCTTCTATTTCAGTATCTGCATACCCCACTATGGAATAACTACAGGAGAGGCAGAAAACATTATAACTAAGCAGTAGGCTTGTGCACTGATTCATTTTTGACATTTGCCTTCAGCTTCTTCGGATGCCCATAATGGCAAGGGCTCGGCCACCATGGTTTTTGTTTTGTTTTTTTACCAAAACTGACCACGTGGCTGCTGGTCACGGCTACCTCTGTTCTGTCCAGGATCACATGGCGCACAGAGAGGCTGCTGCATGCTTACATGGGTTTCCCCTGTGAGCCCTGCCTATTGGACCCATCAAAATAGAAGAAAGCCACGATGTGTCTTAAGCAAGCTGTGTCTGTTTAATGGAGTGAGCATCTCAATTGCTCGGTTGCATCCTTACTCTAGAGAGAGGTGCTTCAGTCCAATTGCCTTGCCACTCGCCCACAGTTTTAGCTTTTGGCTTGGCTCATTGAATCTAATTTTATTTTTTGATTTTCATAGATTTTTTCTTGATTTTTTATTTAGGGACTGGGAGTTGGAAAATGTGGGTGGGTGCGCAGCATTTGGGGACTTGTGGGTGGGTGTTCTTTTCTTTAGGGTGGCTCTGAACTTTGAGTCACCCTTAACCTTTATTAAAGCCTTTAGCTTCTTCTCTTCTCTCTCCTCCCGCCTCTCTTTCAGAAAGTGCCTTTAAAAGATTGATGTTATTAATAATTATAAGAATTTCAGCAAACAGCAAAGCCTCATTGTCAGAAAAATCTACCTACCTAAACCTTCCAGGAATACTTAATAATCTCTTTCTCAACAATTCTCTCTGTTGTTTTATTTCTCTCTCTGCTCTCTGCCTTCTTAATTTCATTGAATAATAATAATAATTTGACTGTTGCCTATAATAATAAAACTATTGGGCTTAAGTGGAAGCTTTGCCAAGCCAACAGAACCCATCATCTCTCTCTAACTCCAACCTCCATCAGGACATAAAAGAGTATTGTAATTATCAATTGTACTAGTATTGTAACAGCAAAACACCGCCAACTCGAGTTCTGCCAGCCTTCCTCTAGCAATCCCATTTTTACCATCTCTTTGCTCTCTTAATTTCATTTAATAATAATAATTTGACTGTTGCCTAATAATAATAAAACTGCTCCTGCTCCTGGAGAAGTTACAGGGCGGGGTCAGCGGGGATACCTTTTTGGGATTTTTTAAAGGAGATTTTATTTCTAGAAAGAAAAGAAATTTGAAAAAAATCAGGGGATGACCCAACATTATGAAACATGGTGGGCTAACAGTAGTAGATGTGTCCTCCAAGTGTGGCAATATTCATCTTGATTGCCCTAAAAATGACAGGATGGGGAGCCCATGAAGCTCCCCCCCCCCCATTGCCACCAATGGGCTAGATCTGGCCACATTTTTCAGCTGTGGAAAATGGATCAGTGGGTTCACCAAAATTGGATAGCAGAAATGGATCATGGTTCAGTCAAACTGCACAAGCCTACTAAACAGTCTTAGGACCACCTTGTATCCTGTGATGGGCCTTGAAGGCCTATTTAGACATACTGAATATAAGTCATCACAGGTAATCACTCGTGGCTGAGTATGATTGTCTTCTAAGAGTAGAGTTTTATTAATGGGTCCATAAGTGACTAAAAAGACCTATTCTTGGTCAACATAGTCTTTCACAGTGATTAAATACATTTTCAGGTGAAAAGCAGATACAACAAGGGTTTGCTTGACATGCCTTCCTCTTGGCACATTTCTCCCTTTTGCCCTCTATTCATGCCTCTTCAAAATCCACAGCACTGTTTGTAATAGAAGACCTCTAATTAGAATGTTCTAGGCAATATTTTCTAGCATACTATTAAGATTTATTTCTGGCACTGCCTGCTGGTAGAGCACATTGGTTTTTCTCGATGTTCAGTGAGAGACCAAACTTTTTATATGCTTCTGTGAAGGTGTTTAGAATGACTTGTAGGTCTTTCTCTGAATGAGCACAGGCTACATTATCATCAGCATATTGGAGTTCTATAACAGAAGTTTTGACCTTGGTTTTGGCTTTCAGCCTGCTGAAATTAAATAGCTTGTCATCTGTCCTAGAGATGATTTCCACACCAGTGGGGAAGCTACCCATCAACAAGGTATAGAATCATAGTGATGAAGATAAAAAATAATGCTGAATAACTGAAGATAAGTACTGTAAAGTACTGTAACTCAGTGCAGACTGACTTTCAATAATGGAAAGATTGCCTAGATAGGTAGCAGTGTCTCCTTCTCTGGACATCTTCAGAAAGAGGCTGGACAATTACCTGCTAGGGGTGCTTTAGTTAGAGATTCTGCATTGAGCACAGAATTGGACTCAATATCCCATGTAGCCCTTTCCAACTCTATGATTCCATAATTCTATGATTCATAACTCTATGATTTTTACTTAGTAAAACGTTTTGTATATTGTCTGTAAACTAAATATTTCTCATCGCATTTTCTGGATAGAAGCCATCACATCTGGCAGAGAAGCAGAAGGTCAGTCTTTCCAAACTAAAATCCATTTTCTCCAATCTTTCTATTATAATCAAAAGAACTTCAGAACAAATGGACTATATAGCTGGCAGGATTGCACAACAGACTGTCAATGAACTATGGCCACTCAGCCAGTACTTTTTAAATAATGTAGCTGAAGAAGAAATAGACAAGCATAATTTAGCTGATGGTTCCTGAAATGAAACATAAACGAGCTGAAATGAAACATAAACGATTTCATTCCTGAAATGAAACATAAACGAGAGTTTTCTGCAAGCTTATACCAATACATATGCAGCAGCCATGTCCATACTGATGCTGAAAATAGGACTCCTGGAAAAGGGGGAGGGGCTTTGTCATATAGGACCTCATCACACACAAAGCAGGAAATGACAACATCCATATGCAACCTATAGCCCATCACACCCTTTCTATTCTTTCTAAACCTTTTAGGAATACTGTGATTTGACTCATCATACGGCACACAGTTTTGCTCTTCCCAACCTGTCTTATGCTCCCCAATGTCATTCTCCATCATGGCCCATGACTTTTTCAAAAATAAAATGTTGTGCAGTTACACAGTTTTGAAGTCTTTTATATCAACCAGCCGATTAGCACCCTCCTTTCCTGATTTGCTGTGGTTTTAGAAGCATACAGGTCCCCCAATGTGAAGAAATTGCAGAATGGCATAGTTTAAATATAAAAGGTGGGGGCAGACAAAATAAAACTAGAAGAGGAAAATATCAATTGGTTTATAGCTTTTCTCAAGATCATTCCTCAGCAACTATTGGAAGTATAATGGTGGCTGCCTCCATAGACAAAAATCCCAGGATCTGCAGAAGCCACTCCCAAAGCCACTCCCCAAGGAGATGTTACAGGCACAACTGACAGTTTGCATACTAGAGTATCATCATACAGCTGAAACTGCATCTCAGACATACACTGAGGGAAAAACACAATTTCTGTTCCATGGTTTTTTACTTCATTTCTGAGACCCTTGGCCTTCAGCTGTCTACAGGTTGCTAATGAAGGAGACTATGCATCATGTGATAGGACCCATAGGAAACATTAGCAAAAGGTCTCAGAAATAAAGTATAAGGCTATGTGATGAGGTCCATAGTGAGCATCCCATCTCATGCATTCCCTTTTTACATATACAAAACACTTCTGATATTCACTTGTATTTTTTGCCTTCCTTCAGCAATAGACATAGCCTCCTAAAAGTATATTTGCTGGGGTTAGAATCACAGACACCCCAGAGAGAGAGAGAGAGAGAGAGGAGAAATATGCTATTTTTAAAACTTGAGAGAACACCTCTCTAGGAATTTCTAGGTTTTCCAGCAGGACTGTATGGTCAATATCCACTGAAAACTGATCGTAGCATTTATTTAGAGAACCTAGAGCAGCGTTTCTTAACCTGAGTGGGACTGGGGGGGGGGTCACAAGGGGTGTCAGAGGGGTCACCAAAGACCATCAGAAACACAGTATTTTTTGTTGGTCATGGGGGTTCTGTGTGAAGTTTGGCCCAATTCTATCATTGATGGGGTTCAGAATGCTCTTTGATTGTAGGTGAACTATAAATCCCAGCAACTACAACTGGCCAATGTCAAGATCTATTTTCCCCAAACTCCACCAGTGTTCACATTTGGGCATATTGAGTATTTTGCCAAGTTTGGTCCAGATCCATCATTGTTTGACTGTGCTCTCTGGATGTAGGTGAACTACAACTCCAAAACTCAAGGTCAATGCCACCAAACCCTTCCAGTATTTTCTGTTAGTCATGGGAGTTCTGTGTGCCAAGTTTGGTTCAATTCCATCATTGGTGGAGTTCAGAATGCTCTTTGATTGTAGGTGAACTATAAATCCCAGCAACTACAACTCCCAAATGACAAAATAAATCCCTCCCCAACCCCACCAGTATTCAAATTTGGGTGTATTTGGTATTTGTGCCAAATTTGATCCAGTGAATGAAAATATATCTTCCATATCAGGTACTTCCATTACGTTTCATAACAATAGCAAAATTAGCTTTATGAAGTAGAAATGAAAATAATTTTATGGTTGGGTCACCACAACATGAGTAACTGTATTAAGGGGTCGTGGCATTAGGAAAGTTGAAAAACACTGACCTAGAAGTTCTAAAAATCACAAGGTGGAGGAAATTAACCATAGCATCACACTGCAGCACCTAGAGATTGCAAAGAAAATACTTTTCATGAAATATGTAAATTTGCAAAAGTAAAAAATGTAAAGATTGAGCGTTGTCAGTTGTCCTTACAGTAAACAGTTGAGCATGTCACCTTGTGATGCAGACTTGAGGTGTTATGAAAGGGCAGCAATTTTCTAAATTATTTAATTTTATTGTTTTTGTTTTTGTTTTGTTTAACTAAAAATATTTATTCATTGCTTTTCTGCCCATTTGGGGTTCTAGAAAAGATGTGCAATGAGAAAGATGAACACATTATTCAACAGCAGATACAAAAATAACTAAAAGCAAAGGTCATATAAATGTTGCAGAAGCTGAAGTACCTTCAAAAGGAGCACATTTATTTATTTAGAATAGCAATTTATTATTGTTGCATTTCTACTGAGAAGGATGAGTAAAAGTGCTTCTGACTCCCATACCACACCGTTTTAGCTGTATTTCAGGCTAAATAAGGTGAGAAAATGTCATTTGGGAAGCTTTGGAGTGCAAGCTTTTTCTGAGCAAGTTACCAAGTTTTCCTTGATAAAAATGAATGTGCTGGGGGAAAAACTTGCAAATATTGACAGTTGGCTATTTTAGATTTTACCAGACCTTAAAATAATATATTTGGGGACTACTATATAATAATCTCCAGTGTGCTGCTAAGAATTCTAAAACCCAGAGGGTGCAGAAAAAAACCATCGCAAATGTTTATCAGAGTCTTGCAATTCCATAAAATGAGTGCTTTGTGGGTTAGACAGGCAATAAATTACTCATTCCACCAGATGGCAGTCAAGGAGCACCTGGAATAATAATGGTGGGTCTTTGCATTTGCCGAAGGTAGCAGAATATGAAATTCTGTTTAAATCTGTTCAAATTGCCCTGGGTCCTGCACTAGAAGAACATACATAAAGAAACATCATTGCTGGTGTTCAGTATTGCAGTTATGGATTCATAACATAGAATTAAGGATCCATAACTGGTTTGTGTTCAGTAAGAATACCTAGCCTTTCTGTAAGCCTATGTCGCCCACCTGAAGAGCCAGCAGCCATTCAGTTTCAGAGTGGAGTGCAAGGATGATGGCATTTCTAACTCCCTTCTGCTGGAAATCAAGGCTGCAATATGGGAAGCAGGATCCCTGCCACAAGTCCTTGTCACAGCCTCACTTATTGGCAGGCAAGGAACGAAACATCATCTTTGCAACCTAATTGGAAGATTAATGGACCTCATTAACCTGTCACAGTTGCTGGCTCTTAGGGTGTGTTTGGAGGGGGACAGGCAGGTCGGACTAAATAAGCTACACAGTTGCACATCTGCAACCAATCTATGTTATATACCTTATATACTTGAGTACAAACCGACCCAAATATACGCCTAGGCATCTAATTTTACTACACAGAAAACCTGGGAAAACGCATTGACTCAAGTATAAGCTGAGGGTGGGAAATGCAGCAGCTACTGGTAAATTTCAAAATAAAAAAGATACCAATAAAATTATGTTAATTGAGGCATCAGTAGGTTAAATGTTTTTGAATATTTACATACAGCTGTAATTTAAGATAAGATTGCCCAACTCCGATTAAACCATTATTCTAATCTTCTTCAATGTAAATGTGCTTACGTATCCTTCCGATAATAATAGAGTAAAATAATAAGTCTAATAATAATAGTGTAAAATAATGGAAATGTAACAATAACAGTAATAAATAGAATAAAATAATAAATAACCTTGACTCGAGGAGAGCTTTTTCAGCTTAAAAAAGGGCAGAAAAACTAGGCTTATGCTCGAGTATATACAGTAGTTACATCTCTGTAACTATGTAGCCAATCTTGGATATTAACAGTTTTGTTTTGTTGCAATTGCAAAAATTCTATTTACAATTGCAACAAGACTTGCAAATCTATGCATTTAAATGTAAAAGTCCAGATTCACTAATAAGTAATGTCTTCCCTGTGGTGCTCCTAGTTTGTTGCTTTTCAGTGAAAGAGAGACCAATGCCCTGTTGCCACCACTGCTGAAATAAGAAAAAGTCAGCCATCTGTGCTGGAGCCCCTGGTGGCGCAGTGGGTTAAACCCCTGTGCTGGCAGGACTGAAGACTGACAGGTCACAAGTTCGAATCCGGGAGAGACGGATGAGCTCCCTCTATCAGCCCTAGCTCCTCGTGCAGGGACATGAGAGAAACCTCCCACAAGGATGGTAAAAACATTAAAAAAAAACATCTGGGCATCCCCTGAGTAACGTCCTTGCAGATGGCCAATTCTCTCACACCAGAAGTGACTTGCAGTTTCTCAAGTCGCTCCTGACACGACAAAAAAAAGCCATCTATGCTGATGTCATGTGAGCATGGTGATGGGATTCCATCTTCTTTGTCACCTCATGTAGCAAAATGCCTTTCAAGAGGCTTTCTAATATGAGTAAACCACACTGAAATAGATCCCAAGCAAAAAAGTTTTAGGTGAATCAAAACAGCTCAGGAAAGAACGAAGTTTGTGTCACATTACTTCATCTTCCACATGGCACTTTGACAATGGCATCCTTTAAAAAAAAACACCCAAAACAAGATTGAATGAAACCTTCAAAGGAAGTCACATGGTCGTTTGTGATGCTTTAGGGAAATAATATATAGAGGGGGCAGGCAGAGATTTACGGTCAAAAGAGAATCATGAAGTTCATTATTTTGCTTTGGGGGCTCTTTGTAGTACCTCCTGTTGCTCTTACTTCTCGCTTTGACAGGTAGAAGTTTTTTATTCTGGTACACTATTGAAGGAAAAATGTTACACAAGTTCCTGTCTTTCCTTACTAGACTCAAGCAACTATTTAAGAGCCTATCATTCAGCACAATCTTGTGGAAGACCTATGAAGATGATAGAAAGCTTTGCAGCTAAACAAGTCAATTCTGAGCAGCTCAAAAAACTGAAGAGGGACAAAAATAATGTTCCATAATGTAATCATTCTTTTTTTAATTATCTTCTCTTTTATTGAAGGGGAAAGGTGTTTCGGGTGAATCTTCAAAATGCAAACCAAGTGAACTTCCTAAAGGAGCTGGCCTCTAAAGTACAGGTAAGATTCTTCTATATTTGATTTTTTTTCAAGATCTTTCAATCAGTCTTCATCTCACTATTTAATGAGCAGAACCTATTTATATTACACTGACATAAAAGGATTTTATTTTTCCATGTCAGGAGTGACTTCAACTGCAAGTCGCTTCTGGTGTGAGAGAATTGGCTGTCTGCAAGGACTTTGCCCAGAGGACACCTGGATGTTTTTTGATGTTTTACCATCCTTGTGGGAGGCTTCTCTCATGTCCCTGCATGGGGAGCTGGAGCTGACAGAGGGAGCTCATCTATGCTCTCCCCGGATTCGAACCTCCAATCTGTCGGTCTTCAATCCTGCCAACACAAGGGTTTAACCCATTGCACCACTGGGGGCTTCTATAATAGGATATGAAAACAAAGGAAGATACCATGTCTCTAGTAGCTTAGTTGAAAGTGGCACTTTAAAAATCCATTAAATATTCACATTTTGAATGCATCTAATGTGCAATTTTGTAATGTTAAATTTATCTCAGATCTTGAAATATGATGATATTAGATTCAATGGCATTTTAGTAGTTTCGCTATTGGCAGGTGTAAACTATGAAACATATGAGCATGCATTGCCAACATACCAAATAAACAGAACTACATGCAAGGTATCCAATGCAGCGCATTGCCAAGTGTCATTTTCTATCAGCCACAAACATATTCTTAAATATCAAAATCAAATCCCATTTACAAATATTTTGTAAATATTTGATGTTAATTTTGAGAGCTTATGGGAAATCCTCAAATAGAGAAATAATTTAAAATTGTAACATTTCAAAAAAATGAAGTTGATGATATTAGGTATGTTTTATATGAATAGAATAGGCACAAAATGCTACATGCCACATGCATTGAAATATTCGATGCGTAGGATCATGCATCAACTAATCCCCCTTATTAGCAACCTAGTATTAGTTTATTAATAATTAATTTAAAATCCTATAATGTCCAGAGGCACTTCTTTTCTCTACAAGGCACTTTATATCTTCTTTTTTTTTCACATCCTGCATCTCTAAATAGATATTGAAGCAATACATTTGTGAGGAAGAGGAAAATAAGATGGTCTCCAATGACTGGAATATCTTTATAGGTTCATGGCCTTAATTGTACATTCTGAATCAAGAATCTCTGATCTCTCTCTCTCTTTGCCCAGCTTGGTATTTGGCGTCCTGATTCAATTCATGAAATTGTCGTTGGAACCAGTGTGGATTTCCAAGTCAATTCTGAGCAGACAAGCTATGTCCAGACAATGCTGGAGCAGAACAGAACATCTTTTGAGTATGTATTTTATAAGGCATATTCATGAGAGTTGTAGTTTGGGTATATTATAGTGATCTGCAGCAGCAAAAGTTTCATTAAATATATAAATTATTTTATTTTAATAATTTCCAAATTTTCTCCCAAATGGGAGATTCAGAAGCGACTGAGAACATACTGCAAGTTGCTTCTGGTTTGAGAGAATTAGCCATCTACAGAGATGTTGCTCCCAGACGTGCTACTGTCCTGCTGGGAGGCTTCTCTCGTGTCCCTGCAAGCTAGAGCTGACAAATGGAAGCTCACCACATCTTGGAGATTTGAACGAGCAACCTTCAGGTCAGCAACCCAACCTTCAGGTCAGCAGTCCAGCCAACACAAGAGTTTAACCCATTGCGCCACTGCAGCTCTAAAATGATAGATTGCTTACCTGTAACTAGTGCTCTTCATTACATCCTCTATGTGAGTATGCTGGCTCTTCAGCTTAGAAATGGAGATGAGTACCAATTCCCAGAGTCGAACATGACTAGACTTAATGTCAATGGAAAACCTTTACCCTTACCTAAAACTACTTATAATGGGAGGTTTTTTTGACAAGATTTCTTCAGAGGAAGTTTTCCTTTGCCATTTTATTTGAGATGAAGACTAGCATCACACTAGAGAATGAATCCACTCCTGCAGAATTCTGGGATTTGTAGTTTAGTGAGGCTGTTAAAGGCTCCTGCCTAAACTACAACCCCCAGAATTCTGCAGGAAACAGCAACCAGATTTAAAGTGGGTTAATTCTCTAGTGTGATGAAGTGCTAAGGAATTAACCCAAAGGAGTAATGTAATAGAAAAGTCTTGAGCACTGCATGCTAAATATATGCAAATGTTCTTTATTTGCCACAGAATTTTATTCCATGATCTTCAAGAAGAAATTGAAAAACAATTTGATGGAGGGAAACATTCCCGTACGAAGCACAGCTATACCAGATACAATGACTGGGAAAAGGTACTATACACTAGAAAGGGAGAGAGTCATATTATGCTACCTAGGCAACATTTTAGTATTTAATGCTTAATATTTTAATCATATATGTGAGCATCCTGTTATTGCCTGGTACCCCTCAGATTGCTGCATGGATGGAAAGACTAGCTAAAAAATATCCGAAACTGGTTTCCCAGATTGAGATTGGAAAGACCTATGAAGAGCGCACCATGTCCCTTCTTAAGGTAGGAATGTATTAATCATTTAACTTTAAACTGAAATATAATGACTTTCAAAATAACTGTAGTATCAAGCTGAGATGGCTAAAGCCAGAATACCAAAATCTAAAAATTGCCAAAGGAAGTAAAGTCTTTATTCATTTGGAACATCAAATAATGGATTTCTATTGACCACACTAAATCTATTCCACTAAAATCTATTCCATGTAGGATGCCAAGTTATGATCTTGTTAGCAAGAGCTGATGAATAACTTAAGGCTTGGCAGACAAACTTTATGAAGTCATAACACTAAACAGAAGTGAGGTCTACATCTAACTTGAGTCTCATGAATTTATGTATACAGTATTATGAAGGATATATACGCAAAGTATATATATATATGTGTGTGTGTGTGTATGTATATGTATATGTATATGTATATGTATATGTATATGTATATTCCTGAGGCTCACATTAAAAAGAAAGGGCTCTATCCCCATCTACTTATTAGGACTCATTCTGCCTTGTCGATCAAAAAATTTCAAAAACAAGTATAGTTTTTCTGGTATATTCGGCTGCTACCACTTTTGCAACAGATTACCATTAAAGGAACAGAAGGTGTGCACTTAAGCTTACAAAGGTCACTTTTTTGGCCTACAACTCACAGAATCTCTCAGCCAACTTGTCTACATTCAGGATTTGTGGTTTTAGAAAAGTACCATTCCAAGCAATGATCAGTGAGTTCATTATTATATATACTTAATATGATAACACTATGTCAACCATTAATGTTTCCTGCTAACAGGTTGGGATGGAGAGTGGCAGAAAGAAGGCCATCTTTATGGAATGTGGTGTTCATGCACGTGAATGGATTTCACCAGCCTTCTGCCAATGGTTTGTAAAACAGGTCAGTTCATCATTATTTAATGAGTGTATTATATTATCAGGGAACACAGAAAGCACTTGTGCAGTTCCCAGCTACCTGTACTAAGACCAGTGCACTTTACATTTTTCTCACATTGTGAGGTGTTGTTATTTAAGGTAGCAAAACTGCAATGGGACCATCTGCCCAAACTGGGGAACTAGAAATAAAGGAGAAATGCATTTAAGCACAATAAGATATATGTATAAATATGTTGTGTGTGTGTGTGTGTGTGTGTGTGAATAAATATAGAAATTATACCAACAAACAGACACACATTGATAAATTCTGATCTGGAAGTGACTGTCAAGGAGAGAGATTTTGGAGTTATGATGGATAGGCTGATAACACATCGGTGGTCCTGTGTGCATTGAATGTGAGGAAATCATATTAAGTTTTAGAACACCTAGAAAACTGACATTAAGTGCCAGTTTATTTTATTATCCTTTATTTATTTGATTTTTTAAATTTATTTTCATTATGTTCCATCTGATTTTCAATACTGGGACACAACCCTGTCTTTCTCCAATACTGACTTCCTCACAAACAATTGTTAGCATGAATTTGGAAGTACACATACTCCTCATGACAGTCCCTATAGTAATACACTGCAAAAAAGAGTTGAAAAATGTAGGTGACTGCCTAACAGAAACAGAACTTTTCCAAAAATTATTGGGTTTAAAGGAACAGAAATGTAAATATCTAAGTATTTTGTCTTCGTAGACAAATGCAAATGATTTATTGCAAACCTGCTGTTCTAAATGTACTACTATTATACTGGGATCCCAATTGAATGCCTTCTCATACCAACCTTCTCCTATCCTAAGGTAACTTTCTGACTTCCTCCACTGCACCGTATGATGTGGTGATTAAATAAAAAAATATGGTGATGGTGATCGTTGTTAAAGTCATCATAATTTTTATTTATACCCTTCTCCCCCCCCCCCACCCAAAAAAAGAACTGTGACTCAAGGCAACAATTAAAACAAATACAGCATTTTAAAAGAAAAATTCCAGAAGATTAACCTTAAAATAGATTTAAACTATTAACAACACTGGAAACAATTTAGAGCAGACAATTACAATGTTATTAACTAGCTAAAAACAATACTATTTAAACAATACAGCATGCTGTGAAAAGTCCTTCCTTTAAAAACCTTCAGTTTGTAAAAGCTTTTTTAAAACTCTGCCTGCTGAAGAAAGGACAGAAAGGCAAAAGCTATTGCAACCTGAGAAAGGCATTACAGAGCCTAGGGGAAGCCACTGAAAAGGACCTATCACTCATTCCCACTAATGGTGCCATGAAGGAGTTGGAATGAAAGAAGAGCCTGTCCTCAGGGGCTGGTCATACAGGAAACTATGCTCTGTCCGATAGACTGGACTCAAGTCATAAAGCTATGGCAATCCATGAAAAAAAACATTGGCACCACTAGGTAAAAACCTTCAAGACAGAGTTGCACAAATGAGATGGCACAACTAAAGATCTGTAGCCATCCATGACTGTGTCTGAAGCATTTTGCCTGTCTCACTTTCCTTCTAGGCTTTAAAGCATTATGTTTATTTTTCTGTTTTAATGATTGGACATTATGAAGAGCAGAATGTTAAAAATACAACTATCTTATTTCAAAACTTTTATCTTGTGCTTCAAAATTTATCAGCTAGCGATGAACTAAAAGTGGATATCATATATTTGTCTCTTGCAGGCTGTCACAAGATATGGACATGACAAAGCCATGACAAAACTATTGGACAACTTGAACTTTTATGTCCTTCCCGTATTCAACATTGATGGTTATGCCTGGACGTGGAATAAAGAAGGGGTGGGCAACTTTTTTTAATCCAGATGGGATTCCTGTGACTAGGAGCAGTGGGTTAGGAGTTTATAGGTATACAGACTCATATAGCACACACGCTTTGACTCAGCACTCCCCTCCATGCACACTAAAAACATTCCCTGCCTCTCAGTGCTGTCAGAAAGAGTCAAGTGTCAGGGATATGATTGTGGTAATGAATATTCAGCCTAGTGGACAGGAGAAACTGGAGTCTGACATGACTGTACTCCCTAAATAAAAGATTGCCATAGAGAACAGGGTACAGGTTTGTTCTCTCCAGAAGGTAGAACCAGGTCTAATGGTTTTAAGTTACTGAAGGGCAGATTTTCAACTGATTATTAGAAAGAACATATTGACAATTAGAGCAGTTTGAGTATCTTTAGATGTTTTCACAAAAAGACTGGACAGGTTCTTGAAGTGTATGCTCTAGCTGGAGATCGTGCATTGAGTAGTTGTACTCAGTGGGCCATGAAGATCCTTCCTGAACTGTGATCTATAGTGTGCTTCTATACTATAGAATCAATGTAGTTTGATGCTATTTTAACTGTCATGGCTCAACACTATTGAACAGTGTTTCTCACCCTGGGGGTCGGGACCCTTGAGGGGGGTCACAAGGGGGTGTCAAAGGGTCATACAGTGGTGCTGACTGAGGGTGGACAATACCTGATAGCTTCAAAGGGCTTATTTCTCCAATTGTTCACTTATTTCGTAGTCCTACTGCTGCTTATGCCAATGTCTCTAGAGTGAAGACCATCAGAAAACACAGTATTTTCTGTTGGTCATGGGAGTTCTGTGTGGGAAGTTTGGCCCAATTCTGTCATCAGTGGGGTTCAGAATGCTCATTGATTATAGGTGAACTATAAATCCCAGCAACTACAACTCCCAAATGTCAAGGTCTGTTTTCCCCAAACTCCACCAGTGTTCACATTTGAGCATATTGAGTATCCATGCCAAGTTTGATCCAGATCCATTATTGTTTGAGTCCACAGTGCTCTCTGGATTTAGGTGAACTATAACTCCAAAACTCAATTTCAGTGCCCATCAAAGCCTTCCAGTATGGTCGTGGGAGTTCTGTGTGCCAAGTTTGGTTCAATTCCATTGATGGTGGATTTCAGAATGCTCTTTGATTGTAGGTTAACTATAAATCCCAGCAACTATCAATCCCCCCCCCCAACCCCACCAGTATTCAAATTTGGACTTATTGGGTATTTGTGCCAAATTTGGTCTAGTGAATGAAAATATATCCTGCATATCAGATATTTACATTACGATTCATAACAGGAGCAAAATGATAGTTATGAAGTAGCAACAAAAATAATTTTATGGTTGGGATTCACCACAACATGGGGAACTGTATTAAGGGGTCATGGTATTAGGAAGGCTGGGAAACACTGCTATAGAATAATGGGATTTGTAGTTTGTTGAGAAACCAAAACTATTCGGCAGAGAAAACTAAAGACTTTCTAAACTCATTGATCTACCATACTTACCTAGCAAAATCAGGGAATGTACACAAGTCATTTGTGCATTATTCCCAACAGGTAAATGAAATCCCATTGACACACTATGGTAGCAGTTGAAGCTGTTTGTGGTGCTGACTGAGGGTGGGCAATACCTGATAGCTTCAAAGGGTTTATTTCTCCAATTGTTCATTTATTTCGTAGTCCTACTGCTGCTTATGCCAATGTCGCTACAGTGAAGCATCAACAGGATCCCAGCTATGTATAAGGCGTCTGTATTTTTAACTTTTTCTGTATAAAAATAAAGTTGAAACATGTTCAACTACAGGAGATAACAGACCGCAATCATTCTGCCCTACAGGATCGCATGTGGAGAAAGAATCGTGCCAAAACTTCTGACAGTGGCTGTATTGGTGTTGACTTGAACAGGAATTTCAATGCTGCTTGGGACAGTAAGTAAAATAGGAAGCATAACAAGAAAAACTAGCATACAGCGTGGCTATGAGGTGTAAGGAATTACTCCTGGGCAGTGAGGCTAACATTGCACCCTTGCATGATTTGTTTCCAAAAATATAAATATAATCCTGAAATCATTTATTCTAGAACAATTTGACATTAATCTTCTTTTGAATGAAATATTTTGCGACAGAAGGACTGATATGTCACACTTGAACTCTGACACAGGCTCAAGACAGCTTATAAATGGAAGGAAACATCAAACAATACACTTCTACCCACCTTTCTCTGCCCCTCATGTGCTCCAGTTAGAAATATTTGTCTTCCAGACTAGACCACTGTCCTCCTGTGCCTTGTTCCCTTTTCAACTGCTTCCTCACATGATCAATTTCTAACCGAGGACATGTGAGGGAAGTAGAAAAGGAATCATTAATGGTTTGGAAAGTTAGTTGAGATTTCCCTGCCTGGTGCTAACATGTCTTGCCCCTTCTCTGTACATGAACTACCAATGTTTCTGACCACTTTGCTTAGGCTTTGCCTTCCTTAATAGTGATCATGATACTGCCTTGTTAAGAGGAACCAGCCATAAATGAATGAATAGAGAGCATGGATAGAAACTCTGCATTCTTCTTGATACTCTTTTTTATTGCAACTCTCAATATTCCTCAGCCTTGCTTATTCTGGCTTGGGCTGCTGAGGGCTGCAGTTCAGCAGCATGTGCAGGGCAACATAATTCCCTGGTATAATACCAGGTTTGAGAATTTTTCTAATAATAAATAGTAAAAGTGAAATTGTCATGTTCTTTACTCTTAAGGCCTTTTCCAGAGGGGTGGAGTGTATAAATCATAACATGTACTAGATCATTACATTAAATTATTGTTATATTATGGCATCAGAAAACACTCCACATAAAATGTGCCATGGTTTCTTTCTCTCTTTTTTTTTCAATGTATGTCTTAAACCAGGGTTGTTCAAATTGCAGGCCTCCAGCTGTTTGGACCTCCAACTCCCAGAATTCCTGACCATTAAACAAGCTGGCTAGGGCTTCTGGGAGTTGGAGGCCCAGACAGCTGGGGGTCCACAGGGTGAGGATGCTTGTCCTAAACAAAGTAGTCCCTGCAGCCACCTTACCTGAGAGAAAAATCACCCCTGCCCACCCTTCTACTTTATTTGAATTATGCTTGACACATCTAGATCTTGTTGATCTAGATGTGTCAAGCATAATTCAAATGCATTTTTATAAAAGCTTGCATTGGTTGACTTCCTTTGAAGTATTTTTGATCCCAATGTCACTTTTAATATGTTGTGAGATATTAAATTCCCTTGACCACAAGAATGTCTGCTGGGCAGAACCAATGTACTGTATTATACCTAAGCACAGAGGGCAGTTCCAGACAGGACTTCAATGCGTGCCCAATTGGGTTTTAAAAACTTGATTGGGCGACATTACAGCCCACATACACCCCAGAAAGCTCGTGCTTTTCTGGGGCAGGGGGCTGTACAGATGCCCTGCTGGGCACCCAAATACAAAAGAACACCACCACCAGCACCACCACCCCCAGAAAAAACTTACCCGACTGGAATTTCCCTGCTGCGGGCCCTCTCCTGGCACATAGAAATGATTGCCCAGAAAAAGGGTGGGCAGGGGTGATTTTTCTTCTCCCCCTGCCCTCCAAGGAGAGAGCTCATAGCAGGGAAATACCAGCAATATAAGTAATTTTTAAGACTTTTTAAAGGGATTTTGGGAGGTGGTGGGGGCTGTATTGGGTTTTTCAGGATAGCTGTGTGGATTGGAACTGGAAGTTGCACAACACGATCCCCAGACCCAATCCATACAGCGACCACAGCTGAAAAGACCCGGGTCATTCCAGATGTCAAATTACTTCAGGACAAAGCAGGGTTTTCCTGCTCTGTCCCAAATTAATTCATCTTTATCTGAGGCATTGTTTGGACACCCCATGTAAAAACGCAGGAAGACAAGCATTTTAGTTGCTGTGTGGATGCGCCCTAAGAAGCATAAAGCATATATTCACTTGAGATTGAGCATTTGTGTTGAGCAGTTATCAGGTCTTCCAAAATACAATAAATGTCAGTCAATATAAATTCTGTGTCTTCAAAAAATACTGCTATTTGGTCTGTGGATTAAAAAAACTGGTACATGATAGGTATCTGAAACTAGGGATGTTGTCTAGAATTCACAAACAAGTTACAAGAGTAATGCATTCATAACTGATTTGTATTCATGATTCCCAAGTATTCAATATGTAGATAATATGTAGGAATTGGAAAATTCCCCAATCCTGACAGCAATTGTGGCAACGGACAGGGCTCTGTTCTCCTGTGGATCAGGACACAGCAGACTGACATTTCTAAGGTCTTCCCATGAGCAATCTCTGGTGTGAGGAGGAATTGTAATAAAGATCTGGTTTCTAACACTTGTACCAGTGATCACTCATAGGAAGGGGATGCATCCCAATTTAAAGATGAACAGGCACCCCCCCCCCCCACACACACACACACACACTGGTTGGAGTGGCTGCTTCCTGGTAAAGAAGGGTAAGGTGGTCAGACCCCCAATCCTAAACTATATAGCTGATCTAGAATCTTCAGGCAACCATGTCAAAAGAGGGCCACTAAAATGTCCTCTCTGGGTGAGAATTTATCATTTATTTGTTTTGTTTTGTTTTTCTTAACTGACCTGTCATGACAATTATAATAATGGAAATTAATAGTTTGTTATAAAAGTCATAGCAATCACAACATAAAAAATAATGAAAAGACCATTTTCTGTCCCAGAGATGGAAAGAAATAGAAATTTCTTACTGTTAATCTCACATCTGATTTTTTTTCCCTTACAGGTGATGATGGGAGTTATATACAAGAACCTTGTGGGCAAATATACCGTGGTCCCTCTGCAGAGTCTGAGCCAGAAACAAAAGCCCTTACAAATTTCATTCGTAACCACATTTCTTCTCTCAAGGGATACATAAGCGTACATTCCTACTCTCAACTACTGATGTTTCCTTATGGCTATACTGAAAAGCTAGCACCCAATCATGATGCTCTGGTATGTAATGAAGGAATCTGCATTCATGGGGATAGAATCAGAAATACTGAAGTGCATCCAGGTATCCCTTTCTATTATTACAGATGCTTATGATCCCCTAAAATTCTGCTCCAGAGGAATGGAGCACCCTTAGAAATATCATGAAATGAGACAAAGGGGATTGCAAGAAAATGACAAATATATCGAAGTCATATAACTGCATAGTTCTGTTTGTGGGAGCTTCTGCTGGAGAAAAGACCCATCTGCAAGTGAAAGGACTCCTGTCATTAATAGGTTGGCATTTTTGGATCTGAACCATTTTCTTTCCAAAGCTCAAAGTTTCACTAAGACAGTAACCGGAATAGGAAGAAAGTCTCTCATGGCTCAGTACTCCTTTTACTAATTTTAATGTCATGAACAGTACAAGAAATATAGATTTTCAGTACTTGGGTACAGCCATGTCTGCAGTAAACAATGGAATAGAGCTGAGAAAGATTGGGATTCTGCTTGCTTACAGCAGGCAAGGTAAACAGCAGCAGAATTCTTTAGTAAGCCTAAGCTACAAGCAAAACTTGGAGAAAAGAGCCAAACAGATAAGTTTGCATCAGCAGATATTTCAGTATATCGAAAAAAGAAACATAGACTGGTAACTAAAAAGGAAATTATAAGAATTATAAGATTTTATTTTTAAAAAATGTGCAAAGCAAAAAGGCATCACTGGATGGCTTCACAAGTGGTTTCAAGAAAACGCAAAATGTTTTAGTCTTCTTATAAAAGTCTTATCTGACCTGGTTGTTTCAAGTCATAAAGTCAAATTGTTAGTCTTTAATGAAAATAAAAATGCTTTTTTCTGGTGGCATATGATTTTATTCATATTCTTTCAATCCTATTTCTGCCTCTGGTACCATATTTTCTGTAAAAGAAGTAATTTCCAGGAGCACATCAATTTCATTAAGGCATATCTGTACCATCATACACAGAGAGAGGCAGACCCCAAGTTATGAACAAAATAGGATTGTTCTTAGGTTTATTCTTTTGCTGAATTGTGTGTAAGTCGAGACAAGTATATTTCTTTAGTGTAACTCCAGCAAGGGGGGGGGCACTTTGGAAAGCATAGGGAAGGGTGCTTGTTTTGCTGTCTGTGCCCCTCTTTAGAAGATTTCACTTCCCTTTCTGTCCCTGTGATAATTGGATTTTGGAAAAAATGGTTTGTTGTGGAAACAAGGAGTGGTGATAAAGCTTCAGTGGAGACACTTTTCCCCCTTGATACCTCTTTCAGGAGTGAAATTTGCTTCCTAGGGGCAGATTTCTCTCACTACTTGTGGTCTCACCCCAGTCCTTAACTATGAACCATTTGTAACTCAGGGACTTCAAAAGAGAGCTTCAAAACAATCTAAAGCTGTAATCTTAAAGGGAGGACAACTAATAACAGATTGTTCCAATGTTGGAAAATTTTGTATGTCCAAACTTGATGGGTTCTTGCTAGAAGACCCAAGGTATGATGTCCCTATTTAATGTACTGGGATCCATAAAAAGCAAGTTGTGTTGAGAAGCTGGCTTTCATACAGGTATTTATTTATTTATTTATTTATTTACTTACTTACTTATTTTCCTTTACCAGTAATAGCCGCAATCCAATGCAGTTCGTGATCATACCACAGAAGTAGAGTAGAGATATTTGTTTCTTTCTGTCTTTCAGTTGGAATGAGAATCCCTATTTACAATCCTAGATTATGTGCATAGCCATCTCTGGGCTTCAGCCCAATTGTAGCATCAAACAAAAATCAGATCAAACAAATTGCATTGCCCTGTGCTAATAGAAAAGGATTAGATGGCAGGTTAAGAGAAGAACCTCAACCAGAAATGATGCACAACTTCTACAGGCCATAGTAATATAGACCTAGATGGAAAAATAATAGTCGTGTAAACGTTTGAATGTCATCTGGAAACAAACTCATATATAATAGAATTCCTTTTGAAAAGATGGAATAGTATTAATCTAAATATGTATTTCTTCTGTATGCAGAATGAAGTGGCTAAGGGAGCTGTGGGTGCTTTATCCAGTCTCTATCATACAAAGTATACATATGGGCCAATTGCCACTACAATCTGTAAGTATTAGCTGTTGCAAACCATTTTATCTTTCTTCACATTCCTTGGATATCTTGAAGAAAAAGAAGTTTGTTAACTTTTCCTGAAATTTGATATCAGAATATTGTAAATGAAACAGATATAGATACCTCTTAGTTTCTAGAAAGGACAGAGCAGAGACCTCACTGGCACACTTAATAGACAGCTTTACACCATTTGTCTGAGATGCCAATAATATTTTGTGGGATGTGAGACCAGATTGGAGTCCTCAGGAGCAACAAAGCTATATATCTCATTATCTTAACTATCTGTAGATATCAGTCCTATAACTTGCATCCAAGAAACTCTGGATCACATACATATAATTCCCTTTCTTTGGTGTCAGTTAGAGGTTATTTGCATGATTATTTTGAATGTATACACAGATGCCACTTCTGTGTTTGTACTGAATATCAAGCATGTGTGTATAATCTAAAATGATCCAATCATTTTAACCAAATGCATGTAGTGCTTTTTTCTTCTTCTATCGTTATACATATCTGAATGAATGTGAATGAATGAATGAATGAATGAATGAATGAATATATGAAATGCATATTATACATTAATCCTTATTCTGAGGGCCAAAGTACATGCCTAGCATGATTTTAACAGTGATTGCTATGTTTATATGTTTTAATGTGTTTTTAATTTTAATTTAAAATAGTTAATGTATTTTAACTCTATTATTTATTTATTTATTTATTTATTTATTGTACTTATACCCCACCCATCTCACCCTCGAAGAGGAACTCAGGATGGCTTACAAACTATGACAATAATTCAATACCAGAATTGAATTCTGTTGTTCAATGGCATTGAATAGTAGCCATATGTAAAGCCATGTTGAGTCCCCTTCGGGGTAGAGAAAGGCGGGATACAAATAGACTAAATAAATAATTGAATAACTATGCCTACATTCTTAGCTTTCAAGCCAATGTGACCAATTTGAGCATGCCTTTAAAATGCATAATGCAATGTGTAAATTGCATGATTTACTTTAAAAAACCAAGCACTCTGGATTTTCACCGATCTTTCTGAAAATTCATCAGAACTGGTGAAAGAAAGCCTTGTGTCCAGTAAGAATGTTATCACATCTTTTTGGCATAGCTAAAACTGTATTTTGTATCTGTTTTTCAGATCCTTGTTCAGGTACTACACTTGACTGGGCTTATGATGAAGGTATTAAGAATGCATATGTCTTTGAACTTCGTGACCGTGGCCAGCATGGGTTTCTCCTCCCTGAAACAAAGATAAGACCAACTTGTAAGGAAACAATGCTGGGTGTCCAATACATTGCAGATCATATCCTGACCTCTGTTCCATGAAGAAATGTTCACATTTACTTATGAAGAGAATGATCTCTGACTACTTTATCCCACTTTGTATTTCTATCCTATAATCCCCCCCCCCTTGCATCTCTTTGAAAAATATTTTATCAATGACCTTAATAATTTCTGTAGAGTTAGAGTGGCTTCTGACTTTCTATATGACAACAATGAAGCAGGCTTATTGTATTTTCACATTCTTGCAGAGTTTTAATTATTTTGCTTTGCTAAATATTTTAGGGATAGGCATCTTTTTAGATCAGCCTAAATCAGGTATGGACAAACTAAGGCCCAGTGGCCAGATGCAGCCCCCTGGGTGCTTACCTCAGGCCCTCCTCATTTTTCCTGTCCTCTCAGCATAAGAACAAAGTGGTCCGCATCATCCTTATGCAGAAAGGACAGAGGAGGAAGGCACACAGTCACTGAGACCCTCTGGGATGCTCTCAGCCACTGCATGTCAAACCCTCCTCTAACATAAGGACGGGGTGAGCAATCTTGTCCTTTTACCAAGAAGATGACCTGAGGAAGGCATGCAGTGGTTGAGAGCCCTCTGGACCGTTCTCAGCCATTGTCTATTCCTCCTGACATAATACTTCGAGCACAGCCCCAAGATCGGGGAGGAGAATTGGGGCAATCGCCGCATGCCTCATTTTCCTCCCAGCATAAGGATGGGGTGAGCAGTCCCATCCTTATGCCAAAAGGACAACCTGAGGATGACCCGGATCCTGTCCTACCCTTTCCCGGTACCACCCTCTCACAGGCCCTCTCCCGGCTGGGCCCATCCCACCCAATGCGTGCCTGGCTGTCCCCACTCCCAGCCAGGCCCTCTTGGTCAGGTCCACAATTTTATTATTTTATTTATTTGGTGCATTTATTAACCGCCATTCTCAGCCCTCTCGGGCGACTCATGGCGGTGTACAGCATAAAAAGGCAATATACAAAAAGACAGTTACAAACAACATATTAGCAAAAACAGCAATACAACAATTAAAAGTTACACTAACTAATCCGCTTCGTCTCATAATAGAATCGTAACCAATCTCGTGTTCCTTGTTCCATTCCAGTCATCTTTACCACATTATTATTACAATGCAGCACCAAGGCAAAAAAGTTTGCCCATGCATGGTCTAAATACTCGAAAGGTATCAGATCCAGTCTAATCTCAGAAGTTAAGCAAGGTTAACCCTGGTTAGTACCTGAATGAAAGACTGCCAATGAATACTAGGTCCTGCAGGCTATATTTCAGAGAAAAGAACTGGCAAAACCATCTTTTGAGTACTGCTTGACAGAAAACTTTGCCTTTTCTTCCCATGCCTTCTGCGTATCTTTCCTGAAACTTCTGCGTGTTCCACATTTGTTTTTCTAGCCTGCCTTGATGGGATGTAGTTGCCTTATTTTCTGTGTTTTTAACTATCAGAGCTACCTTTCTGTGTATACTCATTTATTTGGCTGCAACATGCATTTTTTAATATTATCACTATGCAAACAAACCCAATGATTCAGGAATTTTTCCTGTCATTAAGTAATTCCCTTCCTCCCACATTATCAATCAAATGTAGAGACCAGCAATCCCGCATGATTTGCTATGATATTCACAACATATAGCTGTATGTAGTAGCTTTATGGGGAAATAGTTCCTACACACAGCTTTGGTGAGTAAGATGTATGATCCCATCCCAAATTTTTTGTGATCAATGTGCACCAAAATATATTTATAGTTCTGGCAATGAACACTTAATGACAGCTGCATAAAAATGTATGTTTCAAATGTTCACTCTATCCTACTGGAAAATTTGTGTGGATAAAAATTGTGTGGACATGCTCTAAAATTCTGTGTGTGAAGAATGGATATAAATATTGTAATATTGAGAATATCCACCATTGCAGCTTACTAAACAGTTGTTATTGGTTCATCATCTGTCTAGATGCAGCTCTCTTCATGTTTAATGCAATGCTACCAATATTCTTTGAGAATCTTTGCAAAAGATATATCTGTATACATAAGGCAACTGCAAAAGCCTATCCACATTTCACATACAACCCAATAAAAGAACTGTATGAATTTGATCCAGTGGGTAATTAGGAAAGTGGGGATACTTTCTGGAGTAATAATCATGCCCAGATTATATTTTAATGTGATTCAGTTAGCAAAAACTTATTTTCATAAAAAGTATTGTGTATTTTGTATTATGCTTTTCTACCTCTCTCTCTCAGCAGTATTTTCGAAGAACTCTGCTATGTTATATTGATTACTAAGCACCCTTTTTCTCAATAAAATATATGCATCAAGATATACATTTCCTCTTAAATAGTCTGAACACAAGAACTGGCATGCATGATTCTTAGCAGTTAGCCATATCTGAAAAATAAAGTATCATCTTTGATATTGTTTGCTTTGGTGTGGGTTGTGTATAATACTGAATGGGTGAGATCAGAAATACTACTATAATCCAACATTTCTGCATTTATAGACTCCATTCCATGATAAGACAACATGATAAAGGGCATTAAGATCTTAGCTATACAGTCATCCCTCCAGATTTGTGTTTTTGTCTTTTGTGGATTTGATTATTTGTTGATTTAAAATGTTCTCTCTAGTTATATTCAGGTCCTCCAAAATGACTCTGTGGTCCATTTCCGATGGTGATGCTGGAGGACCAAGAACAGGGGTCTTCAAACTAGGGCCCGAGGGCCGGATATGGCCCTCCAAGGTCATTTATCCGGCCCTCGCTCAGGGTCAACCTAAGTCTGAAATGTTTTGAAAGCACACAACAACAACAATCCTATCTCATCAGCCAAAGGCAGTCCCACATTTCCCATTGAAATACAAATAAGTTTATATTTGTTAAAAATGTACTTCATTTTAATTATTTATTGTTTTTAAGTGTTTTTGCACTACAAATAAGATATGTGCAGTGTGCATAGGAATTCATTCATGTTTTTTTTTCTTCAAATTATAATCCGGTCCTCCAACAGTTTGAGAGACTGTGACCTGGCCCTATGTTTAAAAAGTTTGAGAACCCCTGAACTAGAAATTTCTATAAATGACTCCTTCTGGTAGTACAAAGCCATTCTATGGTCAGTTTCCTGCAAAAGTTGACTATATTTTCATGCTGGAAGACTTAAAGGTTCCTAAAAACATATTCTCTTGGGTAAAAAATAATCATTATTTACTGTTTTTCATTTCCATGGGAGTCCTGTGCTCAGGGCCATGGCTTCCTTGATTGAGTCTGTCCATCTGTAAGGTAGTTTTCAGGATTTTCTACTGCTTCCACATTGCAAGGCATTACTGACTTTTCAAGTGATTAACATCATCTCATGATATATCCAAAGCTTCAATTTGGTCACCTTGGCTTCTAAAGAAGTTCAGATGCAATTGCTTGTTGAGTCCATTCATCTCTTTAGTAATCCATGGTATCCATAGAACCCTTCCTAAGGATGACAATTGAAATATTTTTAGCTTTGTTCACTGAGCAGATTTCATATCTCTATATAAATGTAAAGGTAAAGCTTTCCCCTGACATTAAGTCTAGTTGTGTCTGACTCTGAGGGGTGGTGCTCATCTCGATTTCTAAGCAAAAGAGCCAGCATTGTCTGTAGAGACCTCCAAGGTCATATGGCTGGCATGACTGCATGGAGCACTGTTACCATCCTGCCAAAGCAGAAAATATTGATCTACTCACATTTATATGTTTTCAAACTGCTAAGTTGTCAGAAGCTGGAGCTAACAGTGGGAGCTCACCCTGCTCCCCAGATTTGAAATGCTGACCTTTCAGTTAGCAAGTTCAGCAGCTCAGTGGTTTAACCCGCTGTGCCACCGGGGGGGGGGGGGGCATACAGATTGGTTTCTATCTGTACATAGAAACCAAAATATTAATACAATAATATTGCTTAATCTGCATTACTGTTATTGAACCTTTTGATCACATTTAAGCCTAAAAGAAAACTAAAAATCTTCAAAATACCTCTAAAGGGTATTTGAGACTATACATCAGACTATATATCCAATTAGTACAAAAAAAAAAAGTAAACCGGGGAGAAAACTGCATGAAATCTGATGACTAGCAAGTATTACTGGTATTTTATTATAGATAACCATGTAATTACCTAATAAACTGGTTATTTTGTAACTTCCTACCAAACTATTATAGCTTCACCACTGAAGTAGCCGGATATCTGTTCAACTGTGGAAATGTGGTAGATTATTTTTTTGTTTATTTGAGACAAACCACTCTCTGTAGGTTTCCCTTAGTCAGAGCTCATCTGTATTCACAAAGATGTTGGAGCAGTTTGAAGTTGGCAATGGATGTTTAGAGAGAATGTTCGTAAGATATTCTGAAGTTGCTATGACGTCCAGGTATATGTGTATCAGTTTAAAGGGAAAATGGGTCTTTGACATTATTCTTGTATAGACATAAAACAAACAGAAACCATCAAAAGTGGAAGGGTTAGTTTCTTAATGGGATCTCATGTATTTCAGACTAGAATTGGTACAATTCAGAATTTAGCATGAAGATTCTAAAACAGCGCAGTTCCTCTTGTTCTTATCTCACCTTCTTGAAAAATTGTTCGAACTCTATTTTCTAAGAGGAGAAAAAAGGAAGAGAAAGTCATAGGACATCTGCTCATCTCCATAAAAAGTGGCCACCTTCACATGATGATTAAGTGAAAGAGGTAAGCCCTTGTCTGATGGCTGAAGGGGACTACCAGAAACTGGAAATAAAACAGTTCAGTATAGATAAATTCACAAACACTTCTGACATTATCAACACCATGTTCACAAAATGGACAAAAGACCTCATCAGACGGGCAAAATTGCCTGTCCTGTGACAGTTTGCCCTCACTTCAGGCATGGAGTCTGTCAGATCCCTTCACACAATGTCGATCTACTTCCGGTGCTCCATGCCTGAAGTGTGGGTGAACTTCGTAAGAGGCAGCACTGGCAACACGGGAGGCTTCCCATGTTGCATAGAGAACAACGGGGGAAGCCGGGCCATGTCCCCCCCCCCAGCAATGGGACGAGGTACAAGTGATGTAGGGTAAAGGGTGATGGGTTCCCCATGCCCCACACCAGCTTTGCACGATCCATGGTGAAGCCCCTGCTGTCACCTGGATCAGTGACCTCAATGTGATGAGGTCCTAAGACCATTGTTGTTCTTTATTCATTCAATCGCTTCTGATTCTTCGTGACTTCATAGACCAGCCCATGCCAGGGCTCCCTGTCAGCCATGGCTACCCCTAGTTCCAGCCATGGCTACCCCTAGTTCCTAGTTCCTTCAAAGTCAAGGCAGTCACTTCAAGAATAACATCCATCCACCTTGCCCTTGGTCTGCCCGTCTTCCTTTTTCCTTCCATTTTTCCCAGCATCATTGTCTTCTCCAAGCTTTCCTGTCTTCATATTATGTGGCCAAAATACTTCATCTTTGCCTCTAATATCCTTCCCTCCAGTGAGCAGTTGGGCTTTATTTCCTGGAGTATGGATGGGTTTGATCTTCGTGCAGTCCCAGACACTCTCAGAATTTTCCTCTAGCACCACAGTTCAAAAGGTTCTATCTTCTTTCACTAAGCCTTCCTAATAGTTCAGCTCTCGCATCCATAGGTTACTATGGACCATACAACTTCATATTCTAGCATAGCTGTACTAAATCTTATCTGTTTTAGAGGGATGTTGGGTAAGTTGAGTTGTGGTCTTTTATAATTTTTTACTCAAAACTAAGATGGTAGCAATTATCCCTTGATCACTCATCTTTCCTCTCGTGGCAAAAAGCTTAGGCAATGAAGACTGCTCTGGATTAAGGCTCATGATGTGGGCCCATTTCAGTTTGTTTTCATAGCCAGT